GGAGAGAAATAGGCATATCAGTTTTGGAAAGCACGTGTTCTCCGCTACAGGTACCAATTTTACGAAATGCGTTAATTCCCCACTATCCAGACGAATAGAGAGATAGAACAGAGCGAAACATCCACTCCTGTACATTGTTTGCGGCTTGGAATCAATAAAAGCATAGCTTTAGGCTACGCTGGTTACCGTGGCAACCTGAGAGACCCATCCACTCACTCACTCTCTCTCTCTCTCTCTTTCTCTCCCTTACACCCACTCTTTATCACTCTCTCTCTCTCTCTCCCTGTTAACGCTCAAAAGTTCGGGCCCGCCTACAACGGGGGATCATCCTCGAAATTTTCAACGAGGACATCCCTATGCATTGAGATCCTTTTCTCCGTGCGGCTTTTTGTCGGTCATTGTATCTTCAGGGAAAATGTGACGGATTAACTCAGATCTGGATATTCAAATTAGTTTAGAGAGAGGAATTTTTCCATATATAGGAATAAATATACTTTCTTTTTTTCCTTTTGAATATTTTTTTTTCAACCCGTATACATATGTATATACGAAAAAGAAGTAATCTGTATGGAAATTAAACAGTTTTTTTTTGTCCCAACTATAGTCATTAAATCTTTTTTTCTTGTTTTTTTTTCTACGCGTAGATTGTATAATAAATTGATAACAAAATTGTATATAAATCGTTATATAAGTGGCATTTCATATAATGGGATATTGCAACCCTTTGTAATGTAATTATCTTCGATCAAAACATTGGTTTCCAAAATTTTCAAAGGAAATTTAATTTCATGTTAATTTGCATAAATACGAGAGTAGAATCAAAACGATATTTTCTTTACACTATATATATATAAATATACATGTATAATGTATTGAGGGGAAAAGACTCGGAAAAATTATCTGATGAATTAAATAAAAGAAAAAAATAGAATTATCGAATATTGAATTAAAATATCGCAAGTGTGGGGAAGAAGATATAAATACCTATATATTTTTTATTAAATATGAGTAGATGAGATAAATATTTTTTTAAAACATAAATTTTAAATTAACTCTCTGATTTTTTAAGACTTCATTTTGTAATAATTTACCAATTTTATTTTTTCTATCTATACTTTTAATCTACTTTACTGGAGGATCGAATTGAATTTGCAATTTTTATTCCTTCCTACTATGTAAAAATGTTTCTATCATAATTTTGTATAAAAGAGAATTTTATGTTTGAAATTTCACGCTGCATCTTTCATAAATTTTCCATTTACTCTAATTATTAACCTAGTGACTTAAAATCCTTCATAAACAAAAAATTGTCATTGAAATTTTTATTTATTTTTTAATAAACACTTTTATAATTAATTATTATTATTATATTTATTATAATTATAATAATAATTATTACTATTCTTGTTAGGTATAATTATTTTTATGTTATAAATTAAATTATTAGTATTATCATTAATTTTTATTAACAATTTTCAATAATTATTTTAAAAATTACTTAATTTTACTTCTTAGCAATAATTATAATTTGCACTATATTATTAGTTTTTATTATTCTTTAAGGGCATTTGAACCTTGATGACGTTTCAGTTTGTGCAAAGCATGTGTGACGTCATCAAGTTTCAAATGCCCTTAATTTACATTAAAAAAAATTTATTAATATTCAAATATATTTATTGCTTGTCTACACTGAAAAAAAATTTATTCAAATCAAATAACCGATTACTTTACTATTATCAATTAAATATTTACTTGAATCAAATAATTATTTGAGACAATTAATAAATAGAATTTGCGTCAAATACTGAAATTATTTGTTCAAATATGTACCACTTAATTGACTTCAATAAAAATTATTCGATTCAAGTAAATATTTAATTGATAATAGTCAAGTAATCAGTTACTTATGACTCAAATAAATTTCTTTTTCAGTGTATAATAAATAAATTTTTACTTGAGTCAAATAATTTTTCTTTAAATCAAGTAAAATTATTTGAACCAATAAGTTCCATATTTAAAGCAAATATCATTTAATTAACTACAATAAAGATTATTTTACGCAAATAAATATTTACCTACATTTATTTGAACCAAATAAATTTTTAAAAAAACATTTTCTTTCAGTGTATGAAATCAAGTTTGCAATCAAATAAAATTTTCTCAATTAGTCAACGTTTTTTGCCTTATTAATTATTAATAAAAAATATGGAAGAAAAATTATTTGATTCAAATAACCGATTACTTGTCTATTATCAAATAAATATTTTCTTGAATTAAATAATTTTTATTTAAATCAATTTAATAATGGTATTTGCTTCAAATACTGAAATAATTGATTCAAAGTACAATTTAATTGACTTTAATAAAATAAGCTTATTTTTTTAATTTTAAGAATAACATTAAAAAATCTAAAATGCATCTAAAATAATTTAAATTTCAAAGAATTTTAATTAAAATTCTGGAAAAATTAGATGTTTTGATTCAAGAAAATATTTATTTGATAATAGACACAAAGTCAGTTATTTGAACCAAATAAATTTTTTTTCAGTGCAAATAAAATAAATTTTAAGATATACATTAATATCTTATAAAAAGTATTATTTTAGAAAAATTAAAAATTTTTTTTTTTGTCTTTAAAAACTCTCATTTTATTTAAACAACTTATAATAAGCATAAAAATTAATTAATTAACGATTTCAAACAAAAAAATAGATGGAAAAGAAAAAAGTAAGTTTCACTGTTTACAATGTAAAACTTATACTTTTTTTAATTTTTTGCAAATTTCTGTTAAATTTTACTATTTTAGGAGTAAAATTTACTATACTATCGAAGTAAATTTTGCTGATTTTTTTTTACATTATACTCCGGAAGTATAAAAAAATTGACAGATTTAAAAATTTCAGAAAGTTATAATAAATAATAATAATAATAGAGTAAATTCTTATTTACCAAAAATTAATTCTCCAATAAAATTAAAAATTTCCTAAAAGTTTACATAATACCATCAATAATTCGCGCGGCTAACTTCTTACTACCTTTTTTTAAATAAAATTAGCAATTTTAAAAATAAAAGAATTTAAAAATTTTCTAATTTAAATTTTTATTAAAAAAACTAAAAAAATTAAATTTTGGAGAAATTACATATAATTGCAGAAATTCAATTATTTTCAAAAAAAAATTAAATTCTTCTTATAAAATTCAACTATGTTCCGAATTTGAAAAAAATTCCTGTAAATATCCCAATTATCTTTATAATTATAACAAAATTCTTCTTCAAAGTTCAATTATTTTCATAAATGTCAAAAAAAATTCTTGTCCTAATTTCAATAATTTTCAAAAATTTTTCTAGTTTCGATTATTTTCAATATCTTCTATTTTAATAAAATTTCCCAAAAAGAATTAAATTGTTTAACAAAAATTTTAATAAAATTATACGCAAACATTTAATTATTTTCATAAATAATAAAAATTTCTCAGGAATTCAATTATTTTCATAAGAAATAATTTAAAATTCTAGAAAATAATAATTGAATGAAAATGATAAAACTAATTTTGATGAAGTTACAATAACAATATTCTTATAATATAAAATAATGATTTTATCTCTCGGTCATCTTTAATTATTAGAAAACATGAAGAAATCGATCACTCCGAGTCTTCGATATCTTCATGTTTTATAAAAATACTTTTATAAGTTGCTTAATTTCAAAAATTTTTGAATTTAAAATTATTGAATGTCTTAATTCCTGTGGAAAATCCTATTCCAAAAATAAGATTAAAAATAGAAATTGTACAAATATTTTTCTTCTTTTTCTAAAACAAAATAATAATTTTGTTAAAAAAATTGTGATTCATAAAGAAAAATAATGCAAAATAAATAAATTTTCTATTTCTTAATCACAGTTGTTTAACAATTTTCTAATTTTTTTTAGAAGTAAAGAACACAAATCTGCATAATTTCAATTTGACAAAACATAATATTTAACAAAATTTTAGTCTTTTAATGAAAAGAAGTGAAAAAAATTCTGATGATTTCTATTTGTTATTACAATTTTGAATTAATTATGAAATAAAAATAATTATAACATTAATTAATTAATTATTAATTAATAATAAAGTACATGTTTCGGCAAATCTCTTCGCAGTTTGAATTTAGTTGTTGTTTGCTTTTTGTTTCTTAACTTTTTTATAATAATTTTCCTTTTCGAATATTTTAAATTTTGAAATTAATGTATTGAAAATCATCGAATTGTTGCAAAGAATTTTATCAAAAAATTTGATGATAATAAAATTCTTTCAAAGAATTTTATTACTTAGGAAAATAACTGGATTCTCGCAAAGAATATTATTAAAATTTTTCAAAATCCTAATTAAATTCTTTTGAAGAATTTCTTTGAATTTTTTTTAAACTAATGGGGTTAATTTAATAATTTTAATTGAAAATTTTGAAAGCAATTGAATTTTATTAAAAGTGAATTGAAAATAATTGAATCCATGCGAAGAATTTTACTATTTATATAAATAGTTAAATTGTTTCGATAAATTTATTAAAATTTTAGGATATAATTGAAATTTATGGAAATATTTAAAAATATTTGAATTCATCTGAGGAATTCAATTAAAATTGTTTTGAAAATAATTGAATACCTTCAAAGGATTTTAGAGTGTGAGGGACAGAAAAAGTGAATGAATGAAAGAACATTCAAATTATTATAGTTAATAATTTGCAGTTTGACGAAAAAATTTTTAATTTCCGGTTAACTTTAATTCACGGCTATTTTCCGGTTATCCTGAACAATTTTTTTTTTCACCCTTATTATAGTAGACACTCTAGCGAGAGAGAATGAAAAAAAGCCTATTTCAATTACGAAAAAAAAAGAAGAACCCGGGTAGATCTATATCATCCCCTAGATTTTCAGAAAGCCAAGTGGCGCCACATGGAGAGAAAATAGAAAACGATACAAGGCTGAATGAGAAACATGTTATTTAGAGCTTTTAGAGCAACTCTCAAAATACGCAAGCTCCAAACTAAAACGTCGATAAACGTCGAAATACCATACCCACAGTCCCGGGAAACACAGAAGGAGGATCGAAAACCCATTTTTTGCCCCATCAATACATACAGGGTGAGTTTGTTATTTTTTTTCTTTTTAAAAAAAGAACTTTTCTAACTAATATTTTAAGAGTGATTAAAACTATTGAGATTTTTAATTAGGGATTGAATAAAAAGCTTTTATTTGAGGGGGATATGTAAACAATCTAGATGTAACAGGTTCGACTAAAACATAACCTTGTGAGTTTGTATAGTATATAGAAAGGACGAGAGAGAGAGAGAGAGAGGGTGAGAGTGAGAGAGAAGGAGAGGGGGATGAATCATGTAAAAGCATTCCTCATACAGCATCCCTTATTTCGAGATTAATGAACGCCGATAGTCACGACGTCTGGTTTTGTGGCGCGAGTTATTTGAAATGATCAAATGTAGTATCAAATTTCACGACATTCGACAAGGGGATTTATTAATTCTAAAACTTATCTCTACTTTTCCTTTTGTATTTATTCAATTATTCATTCTATCTTTCATCGAAAACAAATGATAATCTAAAGTGAAAGTATTGACATTATAGAAATTGTTTCAAAAAAAAAAGATATGTACCTACAGTTAATTATTTAAAAGTTTTTATTCGAACTACATCCAGAGAAAAGATATATTTGACTCAGAGCCAATTAGATTTTTTATTATTTATAATTTTCTGACAATTCTTTCTGTCTTTCCGTTGAGAAAATTTTTTTTTTGGTAATAATAAAAAAAAAGACAAATTTATCTTTTTTGCAAATCATCAAAATAAATTTGCTTTTAAAAATTTGAATTGTAAATGTAAATGTAAATTTACAAATAGAAATTTGTAATAATTTGAAATAGATTCCTAGATTTTTTTTTCTTCTTCCTAAATTTTCTGATAATTGTTTCTCACTTTCATTTCAACAATTTCTTTGTTAAATTTGTCTCTTTTATTCAATTAATTAATATAGTTTTGCTTCATAATTTAAATTTGCAAAAATTTTTAATAATTCGAAATCAATATTTATAGTTAATTCCCTGATAATGTTTTCTCTTTTTCTTTATAGAACAATAATTGTAGTAATTACATCATTTGAATTTGCAAAAATTTGTAATAATTCATATAATTGTTAGATTTTTTTTTCAATTTTTGACAATTTTTTCTAGCTTTCTTTGTGAAAAATTTTGTTAAAAATTATTTTTTCTTTGCAAATAATCAAAATAATTTTTACTTCTTATTTAAATTTTGTATAATAATTCGAAATAGATTTTTCTATTTAATTTTCTTTTAATTTTTTCACTCTTTCTTTGTGGAGAATTTTTTTAGTAGTACATCTCTACAACAAATAATCAAAAAAGATTTGTTTATTAATTTGAATTTGCAAAAATTTGTAATGATTCAAAATTGTTAGATTTTTTGTTTAATTTTGCGAAAAATGTTTCTCCTTTTTTGGAAAATTTTTTTGCTTAATTGTCTCCTATGTTTATAGCTTTTTCATATTTTTTTTAGAGTTTTTAATAATTTTTGCTTCTTGATTTTAATTAGTAAAAATCTGTAATAATTTGATATTTTATAAAAATTTTTGACAATTGTTTATCACTTTTTTATAAAAAAAATTTTCGCCAATTTGTTTATTTTGAAAATATTCTAAATAACTCTGCTTCTTAATTTTAATTTGCAAAAATTTTTTAATTTTATTGTTTTCTAATATATTTTATTTGGTTTGAATAGAATTTTATTTTGCTTAAATATACATATTATATATTTTATGTATGTCGAATAAAATTTTTATTTAAAACAAATAAATACTTTAGTAGATTCTTAGACAAATGTACTTTTCTATACTTGATTTAAATAAATTTTTCCCTGGGTGAAAAAATGAAAGTATTTTTTTTTTCCATAAAAACTTTTGCTCTTCTTTTTAGAACTTTCTAAATACATATATTAGAAAAAATGCTAAAATGAATTTGAAAAATAAGATCTTTCTTTAAATTAAAATTTTTTAATTTTGAAATATTTCGAAAAAAAATTTACAAAATTTTATAAATTTTCTTAATTTACAAATTTGGTTAAAAAATCAATAACTTTTTACGAATTCATAATAAGAACCAAGAAACTAAAACTAAAAAACGGAAACTATTTTGATTATTTTCAAAGAGACAAATTAGTAAAAAAAAATTGTTTTCGGCAAAGAAAGTGAAAAAAATCAGAAAACTAAACAAAAAAGTCCATTGTAAACAATTACAAATTTTTATCAATTTACATTAAAAAACGAAAATTATTTTGATTCTTTGGAAATGAGAAAAATTTGAAAAAAAAATTTTTATAAAGAAAGCGAGAAACAATTTATTGAAAATTAAACAAAAAATTTAAATATTTCAAATTATTACAAATTTTTAATAGAAGCAAAAACTATTTTAATTATTTTCAAAAAGAGACAAATTTACAAAAGTTTTTCTGCAAAAAAAACGAGAAACAATTATCGAAAAATTAAATAAACCAACAATCTTTATTGAATTATTACAAAATTTTTGCAAACTTAAATTTATAATCAAAACTTCTTGATTTTTTTTTTGCAAAATGACAAAGTACTTGCATAATTTTTCAACAAAGAAAGGGAGAAAATTTTTTAGAAATTTTTACTAATTCAAATTAAGAAACAAAAACTATTAAAAAAACTTTAAAAAAATATGAAAAAGCTATAAACAAAAGAGACAATTAAGCAAAAAAATTTTCCAAAAAAGGAGAAACAATTTTCGAAAAGTTAAACAAAAAATCTAACAATTTTGAATTATTTCAAATTTTTGCAAATTCAAATTAAGACGAAATGCAGAAAAAACATTTTCTATACAAATCGAGAAAGAATTATTAGGAAATTAAACAAAAAAGTGAATCTTTTTTAAATTATTACAAATTCAAATCAATAAGCAGGACTATCATGATTATTTCCAAAAGAAGCAGATTACCATACAAATTTTTATCTGCCAAAAAAGCGAGAAGCAATTATAAGAAAATCAGTAAAGAAATCTAATATTTCACATTGGAAATTTTTATTTGTAAATTTAAATTTGAGTTTACAATTTAAATTAAGAAGCAAATCTACTCTGATTATTTGCAAAAAAAATTATCAAAACGTTTTTCTCACCAAAGAAAATTGCACTGACAGAAAAATGTATTTGATTTAACTAATCAATTAATTGACTATTATCAATTAAATTTTTAATTGAATCAAATAATTTTTATTTGAGTCAATTAAACGATATTTGCTTTAAACATAGAAATTATTCGTTCATATACCATTTAATTGATTGAAATAAAAATTATTTGATTCAAATAAATATCTATTCTATAATAGAAAAATAATCGTTTATTTGAATCAAATAAATTTTTTTTCCAGTGCATAGAAACCAATGATGAAAAATTGAAAAGGAATGAGAAATAAGAATTGAAAAAATTCTAAGAAAAATTCCATTCTGTTTCAGAAAATTGGAAAAATTAATTCTCGACACCACCTCAGGAAGAAAAAGACGAAAATTAAACACCTGAATAATAGCCAGTGTAGTGTGCAGTTTGGCATTTTTCAAGTGAAGAGGAAGATCCTGGAGCATAAGTAGATTCGGGCACAGTGGTGAAAGGCGACACAGGTATACATATGGGCTCTCTATCGCTGAATGGACCAAATGATATAAATTATTTATAGATTTCGACACCCGACGGGGGCGGACGTTCTGTTCCTATGCTGGGGTGCGTAGCCCCCGGGGGGGTCCACTTGCACCAAAAATCCCTCGGGGACCCCTCAACATATGCATTCTCGTCCAAGCCCTCTGTAAGCTCATAAAATTGATTCCTAAGTACCGCATACTCGCGAGTGCGAATTGACGTCTCTTGACACCTACACTACTGTTACATATATGAACATCTCATTCTCTCTCTCTCCCTCTCCTGACAAATGTCTATTATTCACGTATGTTTTCCACTTTTATTATGGTAGAGTCTGTAGTCCAAACAAAGTCATTAACATCTAATGAGACATTATTATTACAACTCTAAAAAAGTCGCTCTAGAACAAAAAATAATTTTTAAAAAATTTATTTGATTTAAATAACCAATTACTTGAATCAAAAATTTTTTATTTAAATCAATTAAATACTTGAAGATTTAAATTATTGGTTAAAATACAATTTGATAAAAACTCTTCAGGGCTCGGATCGACTTTAAGACCCAAAAAAGGTCGCTTTAGTCGCATAAATTCACAACAAAAGTCGCGAAAAGTCGCATGAATTTTTAGAAAAAACGATAAAAAAAGAAGCATGAAATTATAAAAAATGGCAAAGTGTTAATGGGGTTTTATTAGAATTGAGTGTAGAATGTGACAAAATATTGTTATGAAAATTATTTTATTTGTATAAAATATCAAGAAAATTATCAATCCTCCAAGTCAAATATTAAAATTTAAAAACACAATTTTAACATTTCGACAAATATTTTATTTGTAGTTTCTTTTATTTGCAATGAGACACAAAAATAATTTTTAATCGTAATAATTATTTTTTTAAGCAAAAAAATACTTAAATGAATCGAATAATCGGTTTGATTATTATATATTTAAAAATTTATTTTTTCTATTATTTTTTATTATTTAAAAAAAAATTTGATAAAATTGAACGCAAACATGTAATTATTTTCATAAATAATAAATATTTCCCAGGAATTCAATTATTTACAAATTTTTTATTAATTTCTTCGCAATAATTCCATTATTTTCATAAATAATAAAAAAGTTTTTAAGAAATTGAATTTTTTTCATAAAAAATAATTAAAAATTGTAGAAAATAATAATTGAATTAAAATGATGAAAATAAAAAAATGATAAAAATTTTATAGGAATTCAGTTATTCACAAAATTTTTTTAAAAAATTTCTTTGCTTTCTTTAATTAAATCAATTATTTTCATAAATGATGAAATTTTTTACAGTGATTCAATTATTTACGTAAATGTTATAATTTTTTACTGGGATTTAATTATTTTTATAAATAATAAAATTCTTTTCAGGAATTCAAATATTTTTAGAAATAAAAATTCTCGTCAAACTTTCAATTATCTTTATAAATAATAAAATTCTTCTCCGATATTCAATAATATTCAAAAATTTTAATTATTTTCAAAAATTCTCCTCAATTCTATGATTTTCAATATCTACTATTTTAATAAAATTTTCCACAAGAATTTAATTGTTTAAAATAAATTTTAATAAAATTTTACGCAAACAATTAATAATTTTCATAAATAATAAAAAGTTTACAGGAATTAAATTATTAAAAAAATTTTTTTAGACACTTCTTCGCATTAATTTAATTATTTTCATAATAAAAACAAATAAAAAATTTTTTAAAGCGATTCAATTATTTTTAATGCAATTTTAATCCAATTTATGGAAAAATGTAATTATTCTTAAATTTATTTTCCTTAAAAAAGTCGAAAAAAGTCGGAAAAGTTGCACAATCCGAGCCCTGATTATCAAATAAATATTTACTTGAATCAAAAATTTTTTATTTAAATCAATTAAATATAGTATTTGCTGCAAATACTTAAATTTTTAGTTAAAAAAAATTTGATAAAAACACTTCAATAAATATTTTTTGATTTAAGTAAATATTTATTTTATATAGCAAACAAGTAATCGATTATTTGAATCAAATAAATTTTTTTTCAGAGTATTAGTGAGAGAATTTTTACTTTCTATTTAAAAAAATTAAATTTTTAATTCTGATAATTTGGAAAAAAATTGATTTCTAATATTTAAAAAATATTTTTGAGACTAATATTTAAAAAAAATGATTCTAATAATATTAGAATCAGAAATGTCTTAAATATTGTAATCAAAATTTTTTTTCTAACAGCTGATTCAAAAATTTTTGTAATTTTTTTTGTAAATTTGGTCTATTTAATTTTAGAATAATTATAATTTTAATAATATTAATAAGAATAATTAATCTAATATTATTAAAATCAAAAAATATTTTCAAATAGAATTATCAAAAATAATTTTTTAAATACGTATCAGAATCAAACAATTTTTTTTGCAAACATTTAAATCAAAAATCTTTTCTTTAATATGTAAAAAAAAATTTTTGATTCTAATAATATTAGAATAATAATTATTTAAATAAATTTTGTTATTAATATTATTCTTCATATTTATTATTAATATTCGAATATTTAAAAACACTTTTTGATTGTAGTAATATTAAAATCAAAAAATTTTCTGAATTAATTTAATAAAAGATTTTGATTTAATGTTTGAAGGAAATGATTTTTGATTCATTGATAAAAAAAATTTTTTCGTTGACTTGAGAAAAGATTTTTCATTCTAATAATTGAAAAAATATTTTTGATTTTAAAATTCAAAAACAAATTTTTTAATTTAATATTTAAAGAAAATAATTTTTGATCCTAATATTTAGCAAATTTGAAAAAATATAAATTCTTCAATATAGAAGAACGAATAAACAAACGACAAAAAAGTTCATTGACATTATTAGTGTAATTTGAAAATTTCCAAAAGTATTTAGTGTTTGTATCGAGCGTTTCATATGACCCCAAACTAAACGAGAGTCAAGGTTGGAATATTCTGGATAGTGGAGTACCAGACACCCGAAATTTTTCAATTAAAATTTAATTTAAGCCATAAGATTTATGACTTCGGAAAATTATATTTCGAAACGATAGACAGTAACAAGCGAAGATTTCTATGAAAAGTATTTAAATGCGTATTACAAATTTCTCCTAATTTTTCAGAACCAGTTTCTTGAAAATTTGAATTTCGAAAAAGAAATTAATTAATTGTAAGAAAAATTTTCTTTTTATTTTTAAAATTGCTAATTAAAATAATTTTTAATTTGGAAAAAAATTACTAACTAAAATGGATTTTAACTTGAAAAAATAGCTAACTGAAATCATTTTTATTGAAAAAAAAATTGCTAACTAAAATAAATTTTGATTTAGAAAAAACTGCAAACTAAAATAATTTTTGATTTCAAAAAAACTACGAACTAAAATCATTTTTAATTTATTTGAATAAAATTGCTAGCTAAAATAATTTTTAATTTGGAAAAAAATTTCTAACTGAAATAATTTTTGATTCAGAAAAAATTGTGAACTAAAATAATTTTTGATTTCAAAAAAACTAAAACTAAAATAATTTTTAATTTGAATAAAATTGCTAGCTAAAATAATTTTTAATTTGGAAAAAAATTTCTAACTAATTTGAAATTTAAAAAAAAATTGCTAACTGAAATAATTTTTGATTCAGAAAAAATTGTGAACTAAAATAAATTTTAATTTAAAAAAAATTAATCTGAAAACTTTATCTATTTTTCTTTATCCATTTAAATTGAATATTTTACAGAAAGAAAACATTTCTTCAGCTTAAGAGAAATTTATATAAATAAAATAAAATTATCCAGCAAAAAATAGTGAAAAAAAATTACGTTTAAGTAAAGAAAAAATTTGCTAGACAATTAAGTATATTAATTACAAAAAGGTTTTCTTGTTAAAAATGTTTCCGTTCTTTCAAAGATGAAACAACGTTTGATCAAAGAAACTTCACTCCGACTAAACAAAAAATAAAATTGTCCCTTGGTAATACTTTCAAAAAGAAAATTTCTTTACAAATTTTCCCAAATTAAAACTCAAATTAATCAAAATTTTCCCAAAAAAGAAAATCACTACGTCACCAAATTTTAAACCGATTTCCAAAAAAATAAAAAAAAAATGTCAAATACAAAATATTTAATTTCCCGCAAAAAATGCAAAAATATCAACTTGAATTGATTTGACAAGCTCTAAATAAAAAAACAAAGTATTTACACTTGAGAGTAACGATTTCTAAAGTACATACTTGAAATTTGAAACAAAATTCGAGATGTATTCTTGAATTTGATGCGATGTGTGGAACCCCCCCAGAGTCCAATCTAAATCAATGGGCTTGTGGGTAATCGCATAATAATTACTACGGGACCCCCTCTACCGTCCCATCTGTCGAGCAAAGAGTTTTTGCCCCCAAGAGAAGGAAAGAGAACAGGACATTGGACGAGAGAATCGTTTCGAACACGACCCAGCAGCAGGTCCTATTGTAATTGTGCACTGTTCACAAAAAATATCGTGTGGGGCCTTTTTGAGTTACTGAATTTGAAATTCTTCCGATTTCCATCGTTGCATAATAACCGATATAAAAAAAAAAGAGCCGATTAATGAAAATCAATGCTAACTCTCCATGAAAGAAATTTGAAACCCCTCTGAATTGTCATTAGATTATAGATTATAACAAAGAACTAAACTTTGTTCTTTATTTCAATTTTTGTTTGCGGTATTTTGATTTTCATTCAATCAGGGTTGCCACAAAAATTTTAATTTAGTTTTCTCTAACATCCAGAACAAATTTTCAAACTTTATCCCTGTTTCCTCTAAAAAAAATATTTCAAATAGAGTTCAATTATAAAAAAAAGTTAATATTTAGAAGCAAACAATTAATTTGAAATTTTAAATGTGTAAAATTAATTAATAATTAATTAGTAATTAATTTAAAAATAAAATTAACTATTGTTTTCCCCAATTTTCAGACATTTCAATAAAATTATTAAAGAATTAAATTATATAATTATAAATTTTATTAAAATAAAATTTTAGGAAATTTCAATAATTTCAAAAATTTTAATTACTTGTTTCTAAAATCCAATTATTTTTCAAAAAAATACAACTGAAATGTTTTAGAAAACTAATTCTGACTTCTTGCAATATTCAATTATTCGACAATTATTGAATTTAAATTCTTTGAAAATTTCATTTTTGTTAAACTCTAATGAAATTATTTAAAGGGAGAGTTGACCAATAGTTTTAACCCTATATAAAGAAAATAGTTTAAATATTCCATAAAATTATTTTTCTAGTTTTATTAGTAATCTGATTATTTACAGTAATGCTTATAAAATAAAAACGGTCAGAAAATATTTTAACTCTTTTCTAATTTTCATTTTTCCTAAAAAATTAGTAGATTTTGAAATTCATGCAAAGTTTTGTAGAAAATAAATTTTTGTATCCACAAAAAAATTACCGAATGGAAAAATTGATTTTTACTATTTTTGAAGCATTTTTTTAGAAAAAAAACTTTGTTTTCAGACTGAAAAAATTTAAAAGAATACTATTGTTATTCAATTTTTTAAATTTTTAAATTCATTTGTTTATTTTTCTAACTACTTTCAGATCTCAATTTGTTTGCGTTAAAAATAAAAAATATAAACAAAATTTATGACTTGAAAAAATTAGAAAAATGAACAAATAAATATTCAAATAAAAAAATTGTTTTTCAGTCTAAAAATGAAATTCTTTTCCGAAAAAAATGCTTCAAGAAGAATAAAATTCAATTTTTTTAAAAAAATAAATTAAAAAAATATTTTCTAAAAATTTAGGAATTGACTTAAAAGTCTATGAATTTTTTACGACAAATAAAAATTCAGAAAGGGTCAAAATATTATCAAACCATTAAATTTCACTGAAAAAATTACTATGAAAACAATTTTATGTAATTTAAATAATTTTCTTGATAAAAATTATAGTTAAAAATATCAAAGAATCCTCTCCATTAAAAATTTTCAATTACTTTTAAAGAGTCTTAGGAAATTTCAATTATTTTCAAAATTTCAATTACTTGTTTTTAAAATTCAATTATCTTTCCAAAAATTTGCACTAAAATATTTTAGAAACTTAATTTTGCAAAATTTTCATAAAAAAATTTCAAAATTAATTTTTTAAACTTTAAAATTAAAACCTTTTTAAAATTGACAAATTATCAAAAATTGTTATTGTAAAAATTTTTAGAGATTATTTTTAAAATAAACATTGAATTAGTATTAATTTCTTGTCAACTGAAATTTTTCAAACTTTAAGCATAAAACTTGAAATTAAATTATTTCTGAAAAAAATTTCGGAAATAAAGAATCAAGAGAAAATTCAAGATTTTTTAAAACTTTTTCAAAATATTTTTAGACACCAAAAACCAAAATTTTTTGTAGTAAGTTTAGAAAAGTCTGTTATTTTTTCAGAACTTTTCATAACATTCCCTGACATTTTTCTGATTTCCCTGGCAAATTTCGTTTTTCCTGACTTTTCCCTGACCTGTGGCAACCCTGTCAATGTCAAAGTTATTTTAGAATTATAATTTTTAAAAAGTGAAATAGGTTTTAAAAATTCAATTGTTGATTATAACTAATCACAGTCGGACAAGAAAAGATTTCTGGAAATTAAAACAAAAATGTTTTCGTGAACAATTTCGAGAAAATTGAAAAATGTATTATTTTATTTTTTAATTAACCACAAAAAATGATTATAAGTAATATTAAAAAAAATTAAACTGATTATTAATCAATATTAATATTTATTGAAACTCAAAAAATTATAATCACAATTACAATACGTGATTACATCAATTCTGTTTAACGTATTTATTATTTTAAATGCTAATTGTTGTGTAAATAATTATATATTATTTATTTATCATTGATTAATTTAGTTAATATTCTTTTTCCTTCATTTTCTTTACTATTTTTATTGTAGTTTTATTTATTTTTTATTATAGTTATTAATAATTAATAAAGCTAATTCACTTTATTAAATTTGAAATACACATAATTACTCCTACTGCATGAAGAATTTTTTATTTTCTAACTAAAATAAAAGCTTTTCCAAAGAAAACTAAGGAAATATTTGTAAAATTGACAAAAGCTATGATTCCAAAGAATTACCTTAATTGTTTAAAATTATTATTTATTTATTAGTTAATTATTTGAAATTCTTTTAATCAGTTAAAAATCATTTTTAATTTTTCCAAATTTCGTTTTTCTGTCCAACTGTGATTGATATAAATCATTTTTGTTAAAAAATAAAAGAAATTTATGAAATTAAGAGTAAATCACTTACCTTTTTTGTCTTTTCAAAATGTAAGCTCAGAATTCGTTGCTTTGTTGATGTAGATGCTCCTGTTGCTTCTGATCAGTCTTCACTCTGGTATTGCACTGGGATTTCGGGGCCCGCATCATCCACAAAGTAGCGTTTCGCATCATCATTACGCGCCTCAAAAGGACATTAAACTCACGCAGGATGCTCAACTACTTCATGACACCTCGTACGTCATCATCTTCATACAATCATAATAAATTTGTTAAAATTTTATTTCACAATAAAAAAAAATTTTAATTCAATTTTTCTAGTCACTTGAAAGAAGATATGGGTCCGCTGGCGGATCAATTAGATTTATCTAACTTATCTGATCAGGAATTGGAATTTTACTATTTCAAGTAAGTTCATTCATCACAATTTTAATAAGAATTAGCTTTCTTAAATTGCAAATATTAAAAATTTAAAATAAATATAATTACTCAAATTTTTAATTTTGAAAAATGTGTCAAAAAATTTAATCATTGAATTAAATCTATTAAGTGAAATTATTGAATTTTTTTTAGACGAATAAGGATTCGTCTAAAAAATAGAATTCAATGACTTTTCGATAAAAAGAAAATAGTTTTTCGATATTAAATAATAATGAAATGTAAAACAATTAAATACAATAAAAATGTAATAAGAATATTGCAACTAAATAATCTGTAAACTAAGGACAAATTTCTGACCAAAGAGTTTAAAAAGTAAAAATAAAAAAACTGACAAACTTACATTTTAGACTCCACGACATTGACAATAATACAAAGCTCGATGGTCTAGAAATTCTCCATGCCATCCAGCACACTTTTCATGAAGATGAGAATGAAGGAGAGAAGAAGGAATTAAGTGATTACCCACCCAAAGAGGAGGATAGTGAATTGCCTTGGATTATAGGTAAGGAAATCTGTGGAAACACGAAAAAATAAAGAATTTAAATAAAAATCAAAATATTGAAAAACAATCATCAAAATACAGAAAAAAAAATTAAATTACAATTTCTCTGTCTCTTTCTTCTTACAGAACTTATAGACAGGGTTCTCGAGGAGGATGACTTGGACAACGATGGTTACTTAGGATATATCGAATATATGCTTGGTCGACAACGTGACCAGGGCGAAAACAGGGCCTTAAAGGATAAAATTTTAAATATTTAAATACAAAAAAAACATTTATTTTGTACATGGAATTAAAACTTATCAAAACGCCTACAATTTTTTTACTTACAAATTTCAATCATCTCGAGGCAGTGGTCCATCAGTCACTATCAAACATTTTTCCCAAAGATCGTGTACAATGCCGAGCTGACAGAAAAATATCCCAGTTATTTCAATTTTAAATAAAACTTTAAAAACAAAGAAGTTATCTTTTGTAATAAAAAAAAGAGATGAAAAAAGAAGAAACTTGATTATTTTACTCACCTTGACATCAATATCGATTTCGGAATTTGGCAAATCTTCCACTTTAATATAATTCGGATACTGGAGAATTATTTCTTTGATCACAGGTACTTGGTAACGTTCAATCTCGAAAAATTGCGGTTCATGCTCATGATATTCCTTCGAGTTTTCAGTCGAGTAGTAAATCTTGAATGAATCTTCATCCTCTAATAATCTTTTTTCAGAAAAAAAGTAATAATTTGAGAATGTAGATAATTAAAAATACTCTTTCAGGGTTGCCACAAAAAATTTGATTTTGTTCTTCCTGACTTTTATCTGATTTCGAGATAGAATTTTGACTCTTTCCCTGACCCTAAAGAATATTTTGATTCACTCTAAAAATTATTAATTACAAAAAAAAATTCTAATACATTTATTTGAGAATATCTTTAATTATAAAATTATTCAGAAAGATCAATAGTTTTCTTTAGATTCATGATTTCAATTCAATTATTTTTTAGAATTTTTAACTAAAATTCTTTTCTAAGTCAATTATTTTTTTTTAATTTTTGAAAAAATTCTTTAAGAATTCAATTATTCGAAGAAAAAAAAAAAGTTCACAGCCTAAAATAATTCTTAAATCCATGTTTACAATTTTATGAAATTACAATAATTCGAAAATTATTCAATTAAATTTATATTTCAATTTAAATTGAATTTATATTTAATTGAATTTATATTTACATTTATATTGATGAATAGAAAATTCAATTTCGAAAAAATTTAAATAAAAATTTTTCAAAAACTAGCTTTTCCAGAATTTTTAATTAGAATTGTTTCAAATTAAAATTTTTTAAAAGTTTAATTTAAAATCTCTTAAAATTCAATAATTTACAAGAATTGCTACTGTAACTTCTCCAAAATTATTTTCAACACTTCAATTCAATTATTTTCTAGATTTTTTAACTAAAATTCTTTTCTAAATCAATTTATATTTTTAATAATTTTGAGAAAATTCATTGAAAATTCAATTATTCAAAGAAAACCCGAAACTTCATAGCCTAAAATAATTCTAAATCCATTTGTTTACAATTCAATTTTACAAAATTTCGATAATTCGAAAATTTTTTAATTAAATATAATATTCAAAGATTCACCATAAAAAAAAATTTAAATAAAAATTTTTGAAAAACTAAATCTTTGAGAATATCAAATTAAATTAATTTAAAATTCAAATTTTCCAAAATTTAAATATGAAACTTTTTGAAATTCAATTATTAGCAAAAGTTTTAAATGCAACTCTTCTAAACTTCAATTATTTTTTTTATTTAGTAATAAGTAAAATTTTTCTTTAAATAATTTACAACTAATAATTTTTTATAGTTGTTAAAGTATTAAATTATTTAAAATAAATTCAATTTCACATTCTGTAAAGTTCAAAAGTAGAAAAAATATAATATAAGGTTTTAGATTAAAATTCGTAGTGATTTAAAAGTTTATAAGACAAACAAAATGAAATTTAAGAAGAATTAAATCTTTTTAACGTTTCCAAATGTTGCTGGACATCAAAAGCCTAAATTTTATTATGAATTCTAAGAATATATAATATTTTTTCACTACTTTTCATAAAACTTCCTTAATTTTTCCTGATCTCTGGCAACCCTGTATTTACTAATTTAAAACACAATCACAAAAATAATAATTATGAATAAACATGAATGAAACATTAATGTGAAAAACTAATTTCCAACTCAAAATTTAACAAGAAAATCAAATAAAAAATGCAATAATTACCAATAGAAATAATTTCCAATTAAATATTAACAATAATTTTCAATCATATATTATTACACGCAGAGAAGGGTTTTATTTGAACCAATTATAATAAATTCGTATTGAATATTTATTCAATACATACATACATACATTTACCTACATTTGTACCTATATTTACATGTACATACATAGGTACATGTACCTACATTTGTCTCACAGCCATATAGAAATTTACATATTTCAATTATAAAAATTTTATTTCGCTCAAATAAATTTTTTTCATTGAAATAATTTCTTTTTACGAAATAAAATTTAATTGTAGTAATAAATAAATTTCTCTTTCGCTCTCAGGCAAATATACCTTTTCTTCAAGTGTATAATAATAATAATTTCAAATTAGTTTCTCAATTTAATATTTAACATATTTTAATAGGAACATTACCTTATACAGTGCGATCTTAAAAGTCGAATTCTCGTGTCGGGTCGAATGTCAACACGTTCCTCAACAATTCCCTCATTTCTCACGATCCATCCATCGCGAATCACGGAATTACGTTGCTCCTCGTCCCTCAGAACTGGTGGCAGAAAATCGTGAAGATGACCCTTAGCCATTTCATCAACGGCCTCATCGACATCCGCATAATTTATAAGATCATCCAGAAGAAGTTTCGCCTTCTCCAAAAATGCCTTTCGCTCTGAATTTCTATCACTCGAATTAACGTAACCCATAAATCTTGTTGATCCAACGGGTAAACCTTGACGATAGCGATAGTCCAATTTCGATGCTTGAGCAAGCGCCTTGGGCAATAATTTCTCAAATAAGTCTGTCCAACAATTTTTTTGATACACACTGAGTGTAATGTGTAAACTGTGTGTGTCGTCTATTGTCTCTCCCTGATGAATAGTTCCACGGGGGAAATACAGTAAATCGCCTGCATTTAAAACCGTATCCATAATCAGTTCACCAAGTTCTGATTGTTCGAAATTTTTCGACGAAAATCGAGCGAGAAATTCTTCATTACGCGGTTTATACAGTCTCCAACGTTTCTTGCCCTCGATTTGCAAAATAAAGGCTTCAATGTCATCGTAATGCGGGGCAAAACCCTGACTATTCGGTGGAGTGAGATAGGAATTTGCGCCGACAAAGCAACCGAAAAACTCTTGAAGAATTGCTGAGAAAAAAACAGATCAAAACTTTAATTAATTTCAATCGAATTTTTGAAAATTTTAATTATCAGGGTTGCCACAAAAATTTAATTTTGTTTTTCCCTGATTTCCAAACAAAATTTTGAATTTCTCCCTGACCCTAAAGAATATTCTGATTCACCCTAAAAATTATTAGATACTCAAAAAAATGTTCTATTACAAGTATTTACGATTTTGTTTAATTGTAAAATTATTCAAAAACGTCAATAACTTCTTTTTTTAAATAAATATTTAATCAAATTATTATTTTTTCGTAGGAATTAGGATTTTTAAAAAATTCAAATTTAAACCTTTTTAAAATTTAATATCTTCATGTTTTAAAATAAAATAAATTTCCATAAAATTTTTCAAAAAAAATTAAATTACCAATTACAAAAATTTTAATAAAATCCTTCGCAAAAATTCAATTATTTTTATAAATAATAATATTCTTCACAGGATTTCAATTATTTAAAAAAATGTATTAAACATTCGTTGCATGACTTTAATTATTTCCCTAAATAATAATAATAATATTTTTTACAAAAGTTCCTAGAGAATTTTTAAATCCATTTTGTTTACAGTTCAATTTTACAAAATTTTGATTATTCGGAAATTCATCAGTTAAATATTTAGAAAAAACACTACAAATAATTATTTTTTAAAATTCAATTAAACTTTTTCAAAATGCAATTATTTCTAAAAATTCACGCTATAATGCCTATAATATTTAATTATCTAAAATTTTTAATGAAATTAATTTTTAAAACATTTTTTATTAGAAAATTTTACAAGGATTCAATTATTTAAATACAAAAATGAAAAAATTATTGAATAAATGAATCTTTTTCAAAATTGAATTCTCATAAAGAATTTTATAAACAAATTTTTAAATAATTAAACTTTTTCAACGAATTTAATACAATTTTCAAGAATAATTAAATTTTTCGAGGAATTCAGCTAAAATTATATTAAAAATAATCAAAATTCTGCAATGAGTTTTATTATTCATAAAAATAATTGAATTTCTGTAAAAATTTAAAAAAAAAAAATTGAATTAAAATTTCTAAGAAACCTAATTTTTTCACAATTTTTAATAAAATTATTAAAAACTTAAATATTTCATTAATATTAATTTCTTCACAGCAATATTAAAATTTTTTTAAATTCTAGTTTAAAACCTTGTTTTGCTACGCAACAAACCTTTTGAAATTCAATTATTTCAGAAATTGCAACAGTTTATAACTAAAATCTCTTCTAACTTAATTATAATACATGACATCAAAAAAGTTTCTCTAAAATTGAGTTATTTAAAATAAATTTAATTATTTACAAAAATAAAAAAAATCAAGGTATTATTTTTAAATTTATGGGAATCTAAAAGTTTTTAAGGTGGAAAAAAATTCAATGATAATTCAAGCTAAATATATATTAAAAATGTAACTATAATTGTAAATAAATTTGAATTATTAAAATTTTTCAAAAATTTCTAATTAAATCCATTCAAAATTGAAAACTTTTATAAAGTTTCAAATTGAAACCTTTTGAAGTTCATCTATTTATGAAAATTGTAAGCGCAAATCTTTTAAAATTCAATTAATTTTGAAACATTTAAGTAAAATTATTCATTAAATAATTTCTAAATAAGAATTTTATGATAGTTCTTCAAGAATGAAGTTATTTAAAAAGAAATTATTGTCAGAAATTTCATATTCTATAAAGCAAGCAAAAAAGACACCAAAAATCAGAATTTTCTTATGAATTCTAAAAATTTAATTTTTTCAAGTCCTTTTAATGAAAATCCCTGACCCGTGACAACCCTGATGATGTAATTTTAAATTTAAAGTTGAATTCACATTCCGAAAATTTTAAAAAGAAGAAAATAGAAATAAGAATACGAAATTTAGAGTAATTTAAGATTAAGTGTAATTATTAGGAGTTCATTAAACTTTCGAAAATACATAACCACTAAAATAAATAATAAAATTATGTAATTAGAAAAGAATAATTTAAAAAATGTGATTTACCATTCAAGTCATGAAGTTGTGGAACGAAAGTTTGGGGATTCAGCATTCTAATTGAACAATCATTTCCAAAAAAATCCCAAACGATACTGGGTAATGCTCGGCCAGGTGGATTGTGAGTTTCTCTTATTCCATTGGTATACGAAGTTACGTCGAGATTTTTTGTAAATAGAACATGTTGTTCTCGTAAAATAGTGTCCAACATAGGAGTCGAAAGTAGAAATTTATAATAATCCGGATCCTTCCTTTTTATATGTACCGGTTGCTGCTCCCAGGATTGCCTGTAATTCAAAATCAATATTTAAGCACTTAAAGCAATTTGAGAAGAAAATTATATAGAAGTTTAGTTTTAGTTTACATAGAAATATAACTACATATTTTATATAGTTAGCAACTTACTCCAAAAAGTCATCAGCGCTAATCGGCGAAATCAACCATTCAAAACACAATTTACTCTTCTTTAGTGGATTAACACTAAAATCTTCATCATTAGACACTGTTTGTTCTAAAGTACTTTTCTTGTTTTTCAATTTCGTATTCTTCGTTTTGCCCTCATTGGAATTATTTACAGTTTTATGTTGAGCGTTCGAGACATTTTTTGCTTTATTTTGTTTAAGTTGTCTAAGTTTTTCAATTTTTTCCAACTTTTTACTCTTTTCATTTTTTGTCACTTTTTTCAATTTATTTGCATTTTTACTTTTTTTCTCAAAAGTAACAGGTTGTGCTTTTTCCGTTAGTTTATCTACTTTCTTCATTTCTACTGAATCCATGAATTTAAAATCGTTTCCATTATGCTCTATAATAAGTTTTTTCTTTGTAGACGTATCATTGCCATTATTTGTTCTTTTTGTATTATTACAAATACTCGTTACGTTAGTTGGATTCTTCTTTTTATTCTTAACTTTTTTGGCATTCTTTGGCTTTAAAGAATCATCACTCTTCCTCTTCATGGAATAAACCGCAAATGCGGATATTGGCTCTGTGTCGTTAACCATCTATAAGAATATAAATGTTTAATTATTAAAAATATTTTAATTTTTTTATATTCATTATAAAAAAATTTCCACATAATGTTCCTAAAATTTTGAACGTTTAAATGAAAAACGATTTTTTTCTTCATTTGATTTGCGTTTTTTATTAAAAGAATAAATTAAATGTTTAATTTCAATTATTATTCCTTTTTACATAGTAATTTTTAAAAATAATTAAACAAAAATAATTTACTTTATTCGAACGTTGAAAACAGAAAAAATTTCACACGAGAGGAACCGGTGCAGGATTTACAGTTTTGACTCCCTGCCGAATATATCTTAAATTTACACGAAAAATCGACTGGGAACCAAAACTAATGTAAATGCTGTGGGATCTTTCATATTATTCATGGAATTTAATAAGTTTATATTATTATTAATTGAAACATTGTTTGCAACAACTGAAACAATTGTTTTACGTTTTTTCGTCAATCGACATAACCTTAAAAAAAGTTAACAAAATTCTCACTCACAAAATTGTAAATAATACAAATAATTCATAATACAATCATATCACATATATTATTTAAAGAAATCAATAATTATTCGTTAAATATGTATTAGAATGTTTAAAAGTCTAATTATAATTGTGAAAGTACAAAAACACAAAATGAACGTAACAGAAAATTTAGGCGGCATGATTTGCAACCAGAATATCGCAATGTTTGCAGCATTTGAGAAATTAATATTTATTCACTTAAAAACATAGTAAATTAGATTCAGATTTTAGAATTGATCTAAACTTGAAGAAATTGATAAAAGTAATTCTTACCCGGAATGTTTTGATGATTCGTTTATAGTCTCACGCGTCTCACGTGTAGCTCTCGGAAAATTTTTTTCACTGCTCCTTTTTTCCTAACGTGCGCATGCGCATACACTTTTCCTGGAGAGAATTTTTTGAAATTTCAAAATCTGAAAGAAATTTTCCACTTTAACAAAATAAAAATAATAATAATAATAATAATAATAGTAATAAAAATACTAACAAAAAAATAATAATAAATAAAATATGTACATCGATTTCGTCAAATTTGATAAAAATTTATTTGACGAGGGATAAGGGAATATTGTTTTCTAATTGTGATAAAAATTACTCAAAACTTAAATTAATTTTAATGAGTAATTATCAATATATTATCATATATTACAAATTATTCATTATTATTATTATTAATTCATTATTTAGGATTAGTAAAAATTATTATTATACATAATTAATTATTCAAAATAAAAATTAATTAAAATTAATCAAAATTAATTAAATTATTTTTACACAAATTATTAATTTCTAAAAAAGAATAATGTAATATTGTTGGAATAATTACTAATTCGACAAATATAATTGAAATTATTTCTATAATGTAATTTCTATTAAAAATAAATTTCCCTATACAATAATAATATAAAATTAATTAAAAATAATACAAAATACACAAAATTTTCAAATACAAAAAAAAAATAGAATTTTTTTTCAAAGGATACAATAATTTCAGAGAGGATGGAGAGTATCAATATCGAATCGTGACTAAGAATTTCTGGATTAAGCATTTATTCGAATTCTGGCATTAATTATTATTCTAACACACGATTTTATCGACTATACGTAATAATCTAATCTAAAAATTAATTAAATTATGAAGAGCATTCATTTTTTGTTTTGTTTTGTCAGTTCATAATTATTTTTTTTTCTTTTTTTCCCAAAATCATCTCTCTCTCTCTCTAAAAAAAAACGAATACAAATTATAAACAGTAAAAATTGTTTTTTTCAAATATTGTATCATAGAAATACATTTTTTTCCCCAATGAGAGATGATTTTCATTTTTAATAAACTATAAATCCAATATTTTACAGACAACTCAATAATAGAGTTATAATAATTAATTAACAGATGATAATAATTATAACCCGTACTCCGAATTATGAAATGCTATCCATAAGCTCCATTTATTTTTTTTATATACTCCGTGCTGCAACGGCTTATGATTTAATACGAGGCTTACTCCGAGAAATTATTTCATAAAAAGGAAGGTGAACGTCGTTTCATTACAACAAATCGTTCCCAAAAAGAAAAAAAAAATTTTTCTTTCACATCCCAAAATGATACGACATATATTATTATTATTATATATGTAAATATATCACGTATATACAGCGATGTAAAACAGTAAATGTCTTTACACAATTCTTATCATTTTTGTTTGTTTTAATATCTACATTGTTTAACACATTATTATTAATAATGAAACCACCGTTTTTTCACCTTCAATTTCATTATACGATTATAATGTTTTTTTTACCTAAATACAGATGGTAATTTCTTAGTGTACTAGAAAGAAATTTTTTTAATTTTATCTTTATTATAATTCTGCTTCTTTTTTCTTTCTTATTTATTGTATTTATATAATTATAATGGGCATTAAGATTTCGCTTTTCTTACTTATATCGATTAAAATTACTTTTAAAATTTTTAGGTACATGAATGAGACCATAAAGCGTCAACCATTTTTTTTTTTAAAGCGAATTCAATTTTTATTTATTTTAATTGCTAAAAATTTCCTTTTTTGCACAAGAAAGAGGAGAATGCGCAAAAAAAGAGAAAGAAACTATTTTTTTTGGAATGAACTTTCAGAGTTTCTTATTTATATTTTACAAATTATTCTCTCTGATTCTTAAAATTGCATCAACTTTTTAAAAAAAAAAGTAAATTATAACATTTTTCTAAAATTATAAATTTCGAAATTTCACATTTATTTTAATTTAATAATTTAATTAATTTTATAAATTTTCATAATTTTCATAAATCCACTTTTTTTAGGAAAAATTTCGAAATTTACATATTTATCTTTCTATTTTAGAGAAATTAATTTTTTCTTCGAGAAAAAAAATCTGATCGATGAGAGTCCACGTTAAAAGTTATTATTCTTTTTTTTTATTTATTGTCACTCAACTCGAATCCACAAATAATTTTATATCCTTTTTTTTAAATACATCATCTATATTATATAATTTATAAATAAAAAATATAGTTTATATACTTTCATTTTTTTTTATTGCCATTGATATTTTAGTCAGTGGACTCTTATCGACAGAATTTGATATACATTATTAGCGACTTGATTAATATTTTTATTTATTATAGAAAAAATAGAGTATTTGAAAAATAACACCATATTAAGCGTATGGCTTTTGAATACACAATTCGAAATATTGCAATGACATTGAAAAATCGTAGCGAATACAGAGAGAATTGAAAAAAAATTGCAGATTTTTTATTATCTCATTTTGATGAGAAAGATGAAAAACAATTTTTGCTAGAAATTTTTGCTTCCTGATAAATTGTCTAAAAGAAAAATTATTTTCTAAAAAATAAATCTATAAGCCAAGCAAATTATTATCATTATATATATATATAATATGTACCTGTAAAGAGACAAAAAAATAATTAAGTTACATTTTACATTCTTTTCTTGCTTTTTTTCTTTCAACTAAAATCGTAATGCGTCGATTGCGGAAAATTTTCTTTCTGCTTATCGAACTTTTGTTACTTTCTTAAAATTTAGATAAATACGATTACGATTTTAGTGAATTACAATAAAATATCTACAAACTCGAGAAATTGAGAGGACTTAACATCGATTTTTTTTTCATTCTGTTTTCTTTATCTAATGTTATCATAAATATATATATATATAATATACTTTTACAATATTTATAGATGATGCTCATTTAGAATCTAAATTAATTATTATTTTATAATCTATAATAAGGTATGTCATATATTATCTTAAAACTAGTCAATAACATTCTTTACGGATCTCAACAGACATAATTAACTTATACTTTCAGCATGCACATACATGAATTTGTCAATTTTTTTTTCATTATTACCAATTTGTTTTTTTCTCTTGATAAAGAGTACGATGCACGCACCGTTAAATTCACTAAAAATTAATTATTATCATTCATAACCGATTCAAAGGGTCTTGATATTTTTTTTTAGAATTTTTGAAAAATTCCCCCTACACGAAGAGCGCCCAGGCACTTAAATGAGAAATTTTCTTTTCAAAATTATAAACAAATATTATTTTGATTTAAAAAATTTCCATCTCCTCAAGACAATAAAGCAGCAAAAAATTATTCCAAGAATGTTATTAAAAAGAATTATAATAGCGAAATACACTTAATATAAATCAGGAAAAAAAATTTGTTTGTTGAGAAAAAAGTGAAAGGAATTGCAAAATGTAAATATTTAAAGAAAAATCTAAACAATATTGAAAATAATTTGAATTTGTTCCTCTAGAAGAGCTTCTTAAATTATTTAATGTATAATTAAGAAAATATAATTATATAATAATTGTATATTTAAATAATTATTTAATTCAATAATGAAAATAAAAGACCTATTAATATCTAACTAGAAATTTTTTTAAATCAAACACTTTTATCCGTGGACGCTGACATTCTTAAAGCTGACAATTATTATTTCTATATTTCATAATATACTTAAAAATAATTATGTGATTTTTAAAATGAATTTGCATTATTATAATAATATTAAAATCGCCCCTTATTTCATTAAACATTCTTCGCATCGTGCAGAACTGTCTAATCTGTAATTATTATTTTTCACCTCTTGCGCAATTTTATACAAGTAAACTCAACTTTCATTGCAATTCAGTGACGTATAACGGTTAAAAACGCAAATTGATTGATTATAATTTCGATTTTCTTGAAATTTTCTCGATTTTTTTTTAAAATAATGACAAAAAATGATTAATAGTGTAATAATTAAAAAGAGAAAAGGACAATGTTTGTCCAGGCAGTATAGAGAGAAGGGTCTAAAAGATGCAAAATATTTTGCATTATTTTGTTAGTTTTTTTTTTCATTTTATCACAGATGAGTAGCCATTTGCAAGATTTTTTTTATTATTAATATTCTACTTGCACAAAATGACGGACAGTTTATATATTTAAGTCTCGGTGGTTTTTTTTATTTCCTTTTTCTTTATTTTTTATTAAAGCGTATTTCTTACCGATTATTATAAATCTAATTATCATTCTAAATAATCTATTGCATTTTTTGTGATTAGTAAATTCGAGGGAAAAATATTTTATTTATAAAAATAAAATTCAGAAGGAAATAAAAAAATTTTTGTCTCAAACATAAAATTGTTTCATGAAGATTTGATATTCAAAATCATATTCGAAATATTAAAAAATTCAAAAATATTAATATTATTCTGAATATTCAAAATATTGGAAAATAGTTCAGAATTTCGAAAATATTCAGAATTTACAAAGAATTAAAAAAAGCAGAGTATAAAAAAGATATAAAGAATACGACTAAAATATAAATTACGTATTAAAAAAGAAATATACACTATTCAAAAATAAACAAAATTCTTCTAGTATTTTTCAGTTTATGCGCCCGTTATTCGTCACTGCTGTCTTATTTTGATATTCTCTTATTTCTATCGAAAAAAATACTCGCACAAACGCATCATATCAACTAGCTAATTTTGCTTTTCTATAATATAATCGAGTTTCAATCCGGAAAGTAATTTAAGTGTGATTTGAAAAAATCTACTTTTCAGTTAGCAATTTTGCAACCAAAAAAAAAAACAAAACAAAACAAATAAAATTTTTATAAATTCGAAAATTGCAACTAACTTTAAAAATTGTAACAAAATAAATACATAATCAGTTAGAATTTAAATAAAAAGTAGAAATAAATTAAAATGTTCATTTTAAAAATCGACCAGATTAAGAAAATTGAGAGAAAAAAAATTATAAAATTTTTGAAAATCAAAAATTACGAAAAAATATTTTATTTTAGAGAATGTAATAAAAATTGCAGAAAATAATTTTTATTCACAAAATGGATTAAGAATTCAAATGATTTTGATTTAGAAAACTGGAATAAAAATTCAGAAAAATGACTCGAAAAAACTTTTTTTAAAATAAAAATATATTTATAAAAAGTCAATTATATCTATTTAATAATTATATGTTAAAAAGGGAACAAATGTTACTTATTCTTTCAGCAATACTACTCTTGAAACTCATTAAAAAGCAGAGAGAAAGAGAGAGATATAGAAAGAGACAATTACAATATTATGGTTCTAAAATTCGTTACATGGAATTTGTTTTTCTTTTATCAAATTTTAGAACTGTACTTTGAATAACGTGACACATGCATTTGCGTGAGAAGATATGGAGGAAAATTATTCTCTAGAAAATATCTATTATTATGACCTTGAAAGACTACTAGAAAAATATGTACAATTATTGTGTACAAGATGTTGTCCGTCTAACGAAGATATCGTTTAAAATTAATTGTTTTTTCATAAGTGTATCATATGTTAATATATATATTTTTCACATATATATATATAATATAATAATCGGCATCTTCGCGAAGGCAGCATTTCGATCGCGAATACAGCATTATAATGTGTAATCGACAATTATAAGCTAAGTGCGTTATCCATTTATGAATGAAATGGTGTGAAGGTGTATTCTTTTCTTTTTTTTGTAAATATATACATACAATATATTTATAATATATATATAAATATAAATTATTTTATATCCTTAAATTAATTTAACCGCAGTGCTTGGATCCTTTCATACACCCGTTTATCAAGTTTTTTTTTATTTTTCATTTATGTATTACTAATATTTTTTCCCAATAATCGACAATTTTTCTTTCTTTCTTTTTTGTATTATGCTTTCTTGAGAATACTTGCAGTAATTGCCTCTAAATAAAGAACACATTGTGAAAGCAGTCCTACCGAAAAAATTATAATAATTAAAATACTAATAAAAAAAATATTAAAATATTAAACTTTAATTATTGATTATTAAACTATTATTGATTAATCATAAGATTTCGACTTCGAAAGAAAAGAACTTTGTACTCCGAGAAATTTACTTTAGAAAAAAAAAAAAAATAATGAAACACTAAAAAGAGAAATATTTACAATCCGAGGCTCTCAGAATGCGAGAAATTGTCATTAGGAATATTTTTGTTTTATCAAAGCAAATTATTTGATGTAAAATTATTTTATTCTAATTTGAAACTTACAGCATTGTGTTTGTTTTATTGTTGACAATTTCTCACACTGTAACTTAAAATTACTATATAAATGGTTGAATTTGTGTGAGTAGTTATTGATTTACATGATCTCGTTATGATTGAACAGTAACATCTATTAGCACAGCAAATAATCGTCTGTGTTCAATCTTTTTCTTTTCTTTTTTGATACTCATTAACTTCTAAATAACGCAACTATTTTAATAAAACTTTCAATGTTCTAATTATACTCAGCCCATTATCATCTATCTTCTTTTGAGTTATCTTTTGGTATTTAATTCAAATTGCCTTAGCAATTCGATGAATCACACTCGAGTTGCATTTCTATTAATTACCAAAAAGAAAGATACTTTTTTTTTTAATAACAAAATTTGCCTAATTTCTTTTCTTTTCTTGTCGAGGCTGATCCTAAGTATTTAAATTTTATACAGGTTTATGTATCTGTCATTGATCATCTTCTACATTATTATATCTAGAATAAATATTACATGAGAGTCGAGGTCCTTTTCATACTTTCGACGATAAATTTTTTTTCTTTCCTTCATTCTCTCTTTTTAATTACTTGTTAATTAATTAATTTTGTCTCAATTAATTATAAATTATCATGAATCAATCATTCTCAATTCTTATCAAAAGAATTTCAATATGAATTAACAAAAAATAATGAAATGGCAAAATGTGCGAATGATAATATAGGTAATAAAATACCTAATTAGATGATTTTTAATCATTTCAAAACATCTTTATGTGAAGTCTGTTAAATTCTTTTTAAATGCATTTAGAGTGAACAAATTCTATTTTTGAGATTTTCGATTTATAATAAAAATATGATGAATCAAAATAGAGTACAGATTCTTCGAGAGATTTTTTTTTATATAATTATTCGTATGTATATTTTTTTTCTTATTCTAGTTATCCCGTTTAGTTTGCTCTTTATATTATTATAATATAAGCAACGATTTTATTCATTTCTCGATTGGGATTGGTGTATATTTTATAATTTGAGTTCTATAACTAATTTTTTTTTGTTTTACTGCACGCACTGTTAATTTCACTAGGATATTGTGATTTAGAATAGTTTTTAGTAAAACTGATTGATGAATTATTTTCATTTTAAATATAGATGGGAAATATTAAGTCTCTCCCGAATTGTGATTACACAAAATTTTGGTCATTTTCTTGGCTGACATAAAATTTCGATTGATAAATTTCAATAAGAACACATTGCATCAAGAAAATTCGTAATATATAAGAAAAAAAAAATGTATAGTCGTTAAAAATTAATAATCTTTATCTTTTTTCTAATCGTGACGTAAATATAAATATATATATATAAATATTTGAAAGTAAAGCATAATTCTAACTGCAATAATTAAGAATCTAACATTGAACAGAAAGTTCTTAATTAAAATTTCGCCACAATTCCTAATTTCATTTTAATAAAATTCTAAACTTACTTTGGCCATTCTCTTATATAACTCTTGGCAAATCAGCTCAGTATCTTTGTATGTTATAATCAAGCGTTTTCATTTTATGACAAAAGTCACTCAATTGGTGGCCAATTTTTTTTTTCTCTTCTCAAAAATTTTCAGTTCATTATTTAAAGCAATCCTAATTCATAAATATAAAGCTCAAGTATCGTAATTGTATTTTTATTTAAATTAATATTATGATGGCAGTCACGTGATAGCATGAGTTGTGAAATCTGTATTTTTTCGATATGATACAAAATGCCGATTTTCAAAATAGAGATAAGAAAAAATATCTCAAAGCAAGCAAAAAATATAAAAAAAATAAGCGTAATTCCAGCTCGAAAGCTAAATCTTTATAAAAGAGAAAAATTCACTACTTCATATAGTGAAACTGAGAAAATCTTAATCTACAACATGATTGATTAACTTAAAAAAAGCACTTTTTTCGTAAATAAAAAATCAAAATAAAAAATAGATTCAACTTTTTGCACCGAAAAATAAAGTAAATATAAAGAATAAAAGATATGATAAAAAGCCGTCAAATTCCAGATCTTAAGAAGTCCTCTAAATCAAGAGAGGCTCCACTTTCTTCAACAAAGCAATTTTGGGCTTTCGAATCTATTAAATTCATTTCAAGAATTTCAATTTCATTTCAAGTCTAGCAGAGATATGACATGGTATTTGTAAGCAATCTATATAAATGTACATTAAAAAAAAAATTGGCCGACCACGAGCTCTCAAGCGTCAATTTTTAGTTTTTTTTTAAGTAGCCTACGATCCTTACTCCGTTTACTTTACTTTTTAAAGACACTGGAAGAAATGATTACGGGGATAATATGACAATTTTAATAGTAGCTATCAATTATTAGCTAATTGAGTTTTCTTTTCTTTTCTAATTTGATAAAAAAAATAACCCCCAATCGTTTCTTCCAGTGGATATGGCGATTTCGCAGATGATCAACATGCATAAATTACGCAAAGTACATAACTCTCTTTGTATCCGCGTGAACTGTTATTGCTCGCGCCATCGCACCTGGCGTTCTATCTTCACTGCAGCTTGATTGATGAGATCCTTCTCCACTGTGAATAATACATTTTTAATCAATAAATTTTGAATTTAACAAAAATTTAAACAACAAATTTTTTAATTCTCAACTAAAAATTAAACCAAGTTTTAAATTAAATCAAATTCAGTTCAAATCGTTTAAATTATAATTTCAATAATCAAATTAGAATCAAGTTTAAAAAATATACAATAAGTTAAATGCTATAATGAATAAAACAGATTTTAATTTAATAATTCAGAAAAAGAATGTTGAAGAAAATTTAAGTAAATTGAGGTAAATAAAAACTAGTAATTGCAACACTTACCTGTCGTGTTCCTTTTCAACTAAATGATATCTAGCGCGAAAAGCGACCAGATGAGCATAATAAGCTGGAGCTGGTATGCTAACCGATCTTGTACATCTGACATAAGTGTGACAAAGTTGATAGGTGAGACATTGCAGTTCATCACTCTCAAAGTGATTATCATCCCAAAGCACGTGATAATGTGAAGGTCTCGATGTTCCCTACAAATTAATAAAAACAATTAATCATAAAATATCAATTTCTTAATTATCAAATTAAGCAGAAAAATAAACTTTGAAAATCAACTCACTGTATCACTTAAAGGTTCATTCAAAGTTCTTCATTCATAAAAACATACTTCAAACTTATATCAAATAAGTTCATTCTCCACTTTTTCTTCATCCTCTCGACAAAATTCTCAACACTTTTTTTTCATATTAAATAAAACTATGAAAGCAAATGTACAAGCACAAAAAAAGAAGCGTAAAATTTACAGCTTTTGAGGCTGTAAAATAAACAAAAGCACAAAAGAGCGATAGCCAAAAATATTCCATGAATCCAGTAAAATTTCTTTCATGATTTCATGACTACATGATTTCAAAATTTCTTTCCTTAAAATTCATATCCAAGCAAGAGTGAAAAACATTAAATTTCAATGTTTCTTTCTTTAAAAAAGAATCGTGCGAAAATAGTAAAACACGCTCTTTAATTAAAATAAATATGTAATTAAAATAACCGTCGAGTATTTTCCCTTTAAAAAAAGGGGCGAAATTATAGATATTCAATTAAAAATAAACATCCAAGTACATAAAAAAATTCTTCCCTTTAAAAAAGGGGCGAAACATTAACATAGATATTCAATTAAAAATAACTATCCAAGTACATAAAAAAAATTTTCTTTTAAAATAAGGGCAAAAAATAAAATAGATAACTATTTAATTAAAATAAATATCAAGCGAATAAAAAATTCTCCCGTTTACAAATGAGACGAACAAATTACAGGGATCGAACCAGTGAAAGTATTTAAAAATACGGACTTTACGGACCAAAAATGAAAAATTACGGACCATTGACGAACCAATTACTGACAAAAATATAACCAGTCCGAGTCAAATAAAAGAACATTTTACTTAAAAGTATAAATTAAATTTTTCATGTTTTATAATAAATAATTAAAGATGACCGAGTGATAAAATCATTATCAATTCAATTATTATTTTAAAAAATTTCCAAACTAAAATTCTTGTTTAAATCGATTATTTTTAATTTCAGAAAACGTTCTTTGACAATTTTCAAATCCTTTTGTTTATAATATTCAATTTTACGAAATTTGAATTATTTGTAAATTCTTCAATTAAATATAATTATATTAGAAAATAAAAACTTAAAGAAATATAAAAAATTACCTACAATTAAACTTTTTCAAAAAAGTAAATTGCAAGATTCAATTATTTCTAAAAACTTACGCCACTATAATGCTTTTAATATTCAATTATTATCTAAAATTTTAACTGACATTCATTTTAAAATCAATTTTTATTAGAAAATTCTACTAGAATCCAATTATTTAAATACAAAAATAAACAATTTATTGAATAATTGAATGTTTCTTAAAATTGAATTCTCATAAAGAATTTTATCAACCCAAATAATTGAATTCTTTTGAATTTTTGTTTAGTGTTTTTAAATAAAATGCTTCTATAAATCCATTATTTTTAATAATTTTTAAAAAAGTTTTTTTTGAGAATTTTCAAATTCATTTGTTTATAATTCAATTTTACAAAATTTCAATTATTTGGAAATTCTTCAATTAAATATATATATATTAGAAAATAAAAACTTCAATAAATAATTTCAAGTAAAATTGAAATAAGCTGTTACAAAAAAATTAATTCTTCTGTAGAATATTGTTAATTGAAAGTATGAAAAATTAAAATTTTCAAAGATTTTAATATGAAACCTTTTCAAAATTCAATTTTTTCTAAAAATTCAATAATGCTTTTAATATTCAATTATAATCCAAAATTTTAAGTGACATTCATTTTTAAATCAATTTTTATTAGAAAATTCTACTAGAATTGAATTATTTAAATAAAAAAAATAATTTATTGAATAATTCAATTCTCATAAAGAATTATATCAACAAATTTTTAAATAATTAAATTCTTTCGACGAATTTTAATAAAAATTTTAAGAATAATTACATTTCTCAAGGAATTCTATTAAAATTGTATTAAAAATAATTGAAATTCTACGATGAGTTTTATTATTTATGAAAATAATTGAATTCCTAAAAAGAATTTTATTATTTACGAAAATAATTGAATGATTGCGAAGAAATTTATAAAAAAATTTGTAAATAATTGAAATCCTGTGAAATTTTCATTATTTTATGAAAATAATTGAAGGTTTGCGTAGAATTTTATTAAATTTTTTTTAAATAATTGAATTTTTTGGAAAATTATGTCAAAATAGTAGATATTAAAAATCATTGAATTGAGGAAAATTTTTGAAAATAATTGAAATTTTGACGAGAATTTTTTCAAATTTTTTAACATAATTGAATTTCTGCGAAGAATTTTAATACTTTTGAAAATAATTAAATTTCTGAAAATATTTGTAATTTCTCTAAAATTCTCCAAATTAAATCGTACAATTTACGAATGTTTCGTCATTTTTCTATCAAATTATGATTTTTACGGACTTTTTTTCAAAAAAACGGACTTTTACGGACTTGAACCAAAATTATGGACTTTTACGGGATTTACGGACCTAATTCGAGCCCTGAAATTATAATAAATAAGGACGCAAAAAAAAATAAAAAGCAAATTTCTCTTCCCTTTAAGAAAGAAGCGAGAAAGACGGAAAGATAAAAAATAAATCACCCACGATAGCAGGCAGGTAAGGAAAACTTATAAATCAACGACTCACCTGAATTCCTTGATGACTGCAAAGGTAAAAGTCGAATTCAGTAGGATGGGTGATACAAACATCGACAGTTGTTCCAGCTGGAATATTTCCACTTTTTCCACTCTGTTCCCTCTTATCAGCGCAGAACAAACGTGTATGATGCCTCTTTTGAACAGCGATAAAGGTGATACCTGGTCTATATTCAGCTTCTAGTTTAATGCAGGCCTCACGAATGGCAGTCAACTCGTGTTGTAGAACATGCAAGAATTGTCCTTCGGAGATACCGTCACGATACAAGATTATTCGATGCGGCTTATAACCACCTGTGCTCTTGTAGAACATTATCAGCAACTCCCTGTAAAACACAAATTCACAGAAAGATTTAATAACAATTCGGAAAATTGCAAATCAGTTGACATTAATAAAATTCTAATAAAATAAAACACGAATAATAATAATAATAAAAATTAAATAATTTCTCACTTTCTATAAGAATGTTATTAAACTCAGGGATAACAGAAGCTTTTTCTTCTTTGAAATAGGTGAAAATATAAATTATTTTCTAAAAAAAAAGGTGACAAGAAGATGACAAATAAAATTTAGATAAAGTTATGCACCAAAAAATTAATATTTTAATAATATTTAATAAGAAAATAATATTTTCATTAATTTCATATTTTTCTATTAACCTAAATATAATTTTTATGCATAATAGTTACAATAAATCATTCATAAAAATCGTGTTTAACAAAATAAAAAAAATAGTTTATCAGGTTTTGCTAAATTGTTTCTACAATATAAATTTAAAAAATTAAAATTTTTTGACTAGTTAAATTCTGCGATAAGTAAAGAATTTAATCGATGAAAGTAGGTATTAAGAAATTAAATTCAAGATTTATTAAAATATTAATTAAATTATTTTCCAAATTAAGCGCTTTTATATTTCCAAATATAAAAATCAATTTTTAAATAATTTCAGATTCAAAATTTTAAAAATTCACTTATTAAGTACATAATTTATTATCCTTCATTATTTTCAAAAGTTTAAATAAAATTTGTCGCAAGAATTCAATTATTCTCATAAATAATAACATTCTTTGGAAGAATACAATTATTTTTATAAATAATAAAATTCTTCGCATAAATTAAATTATTTTCAAAACAGTTTTAATAAAACTTCAAGAATGAATTCAATTATTCTTAAAAAATTTTCGAAATAATCCTATTATTTCCTAAAATTTTGATAAAATTCTTCGAAAGAATTCAATTATTTTTATAAATAATAAAATTTCTTAAGAGGATTTAATTGTTTGTATATTTTAATTATTTTCAATAAATTTAAAGAAATTGTTCAAATAAATGTAATTATTTACGTAAACTAATAAAATTGTTTTAAAAAAATTGAATTTTCTAGCTATAATTTTAATAAAATTTAATTATAAATTTATGAATTACAACTTTTAATAAACACGATTATTTTAAAAACTTGAAAGAAATTCTTCATAAAATTCATCTTACTTTCAAAATTTGTAATCAAAATTATTTTTAAAAAACTTCATTATTTTAAAAAAATTCAAATAAATTCTTGAAAACAATTTATTTTATAAAATTTCGATAAAATTCTTGCCAAGAATTAAATTATTTTCATAAATAATAAAATTCTTTGCAAGAATTAATTATTTTCAAAAATTTTGATAAAATCCTTCAAAGGAATTAAATTATTTTCAAATTTTTTGATAAATACTTAGCAAGAACTCAATGATTTTCAATACATTAATTTTAGAATTCAAAACATTTAAAAAGAAAAGTTATTTAAAAAAATTAGGAAACAAAGAAGCAAACAAAAACTAACTGCGAATATATTACCGAGAAACCACGATTATTAATATAGATAAATTAATTAAAAAAATTTTAAAACTTTAGTTTTAATGTAAGAAGTTTATCCGATTAAAAATATTTGAAAAAAAGTCTGTGATACATAAAGCTACAAATTACTAATTACAGAAGAAATTAAAAAAGAAGTAAAAAACTTCGAAAAATAAAATAAAAAAAATAGAAATTAAAAAGAAAAATAAGTATGTGGTTTTACATACCTAACCATAGAACTGAGTTCTTGAATAATTTCTTGTCTATGTTGCTGAACTCGTACAGTAGCTGCATACCGAGAGGGATGAGCGTCCATGCTACCAACAACGGCGGCTATACTTGGTTTTTTGTTATCTCCTGCAGGTGGATGTGTCACATCAACTCCAAGGAAAATAACCGGTTCATTAAAGACCTTCGGTCTGATACTTGGTACCAATATACTATTAATACCACCGAGTTTCACATTGATCTTAAGGCAGAGATTTGACAACGTTTGCGGAGATGTTTTATTAACATTCTTTGCCTGAACACATTGTGTTGCCATTCCTAATAGGGTATCGCCTACCCTTTTAACTTCGGCTGAAAAAAGAATATTACAAAATCAAACTACCATTCTTGTCAATAACAAAACATCAAAAAACAAAAGGCTTACATCTTAACAAAAACTTTTGTTTTTGTTAAGATGTAAGCCTTTTGTTACTTAGAACAAAATAACTTATGTTAGCCTTTTGTTACTTTTTACTTAGAAAAAATAGTCGAAAAAATATCATAAAAATAAATATCAATCATAAAATAAAAAATTCCTCTTAAGCACAAAAAAAGCATTTTTAAAACACTTTTGTTTCCAGGGTTGCCACGCTTCTGCTTATTTAAAATTCCCTGAGTTTTACAGGTTTTCCAGGTTAAAAAACGGAATTTTTCCAGATTTTTAAAACGAGAATTATTCGTAAACATCAATAACTTCATTTTTAAATAAATATTTAATAATTATTTTTTTTATAGAAATTAAGATATTCAAAAATTTGAAATTCAATAACAAAAGAATATTATTATAAAACATGAAGATATCGATCACTCCGAGTCTTCGACTCAGGGTGATCGCTTTCTTCATGTTTTATAATAATTTAAATTTTCAGAAAATATAAAAAAAGAAATTAAATTATTTACAAAAATTTTAATAAAATCCTTCGCAAAAATTCAATTATTTCTACAAGGAATACAATTTTCCACACTAATTCAATTATTTAAAAAAATGTAATAAAATTCGTTGTAACAATTCAATCATTTTTCATAAATAATAAAATTTTTCATGGGATTTCAATTATTATTTTTGATACAATTTTAAATGAATTCCTCGAAAATTGTAATTATTTTCAAAAATTTTTTGCAAGAATTCAATTATTTTCTTAAATAATAAAATTCTTCACAGGATTTCAATTACATATTTAAAAGAAATGTAATAAAAATTCGTTGCGAAAATTCAATTATTTTCATAAATAAAATTCTTCACAGGATTTCAACTATTTTTAATACAATTTTAAGTAAATTCTTCGAAAAATGTAATTAAATTCAAAAATTTTATTCAAATTCTTTGAAAGAAATAAATGAACAATATTATCAATTTTTAAAAATAATTTAGGGAAAAGTTCCTAGAATATTTTCAAATCTATTTGTTTACAACTCAATTTTACGAAATTTTGATTATTCGGAAATTATTGAATTAAATATTTAGAAAATAAAAACTTTAAATAATTTTTTAAAACAATTCGATTAAATTTTTTCAAAATTCAATTATTATCTAAAATTTCAACTGAAATTCATTTTTAAATAAATTTTTATTAGAAAATTCTACGAGAATTGAATTATTTAAACAGGTAGTATGATTTTCATAAAGAATTTTATCAACAAATTTTTAAATAATTGAATTTTTTCGACGAATTTTAATAAAAATTTTTTAAATAATTACATTATTCAAGGAATTCCATTAAAATTGTATTAAAAATAATTGAAATTCTGATAAGAATTTTATTAAAATTTTTTAAAATAATTGAATTTTGGGGAAAAATTAATATTTTTTTGAAAATAATTTTATTCTTTAAAGAAATTTAATTAAAAATTTATTGAAAATAATACTTAAATTCTAATAAATAAATTGTAGCAAAGATTATTAAAATAATTAAATTTCTTTGGTAAATTTTAATACAATTTTTAAGAATAATAACTTTTTTCGAGGAATTCCATTAAATTTTTATATAAATAATTAAAATTCAGCATTGAATTTTTTTGTTTATGAAAATAATTGAATAATATATGAAAATAATTTGTAAATAATTGAATTCCTGTGAAATTTTTATTATTTATGAAAATAATTAAATTTCTGCGTAGAATTGTATTAAAATTTTTTTTAACTGATTGAGTTCTTTTAGGAATTTTTATTAAATTAGTAGATATTAAAAATCATTAAATTGAGAAAATTTTTGGAAAATAATTAAAATTTTGTCAAGAATTTTATTAAATTTTTTGAAAATAATTGAATTTCTGAAAAGAATGTTACTAATTTTGAAAATAATTGAATTTCTGCAATCATTTTGTAATTGCTTCAACATTCAATTTGTTTTAGTGTGTTTATCTAAAATTGTTCTATAAATTCATTATTTTTAATAAAACTAGTTAACAACAATCTTCCAGGATTTCGATGAAAATTCCCTGACTTTTCCAGGTTTTTTCACGGTTTATAAAATTCTCTGACATTTTCAGGTTTTCCAGGTTTCCAGGTTGCTTGGCAACCCTGGTTTTGAACAATAAAGATAAACGAGCATTAGCGAGCGAGGATAATGACGCTAGTAAAGATAAATTGAGTTATAAAATTACCATAAACAGGAGTTTTTCCCGGCAGAACAACGCAGACCAATTGTAAACCTTGGAACGTTGATTTAAGATATCGGAACATTGGTTCAACTTGATCGGGACCAGTGGCATATTTGCAGAAACAAGGTTGCCCGATAATTGGCATTCCAGCGTCACTGCTTATCTTTTGAAGTTGTGTTGTGAATGTGCGTAATGCATCTTCTCTTACTGTTCTTTGCGGTGCAAAACATGCAATTGCCCATACTCGAATTTCAACGCCAGTGAAAAATTGTTTACCCCTCATGTCCCATACACCTTGATTTGGTAATGCTTGTTGTTTCGCCTACAAAAAATGACAAAAAATAATAAATTTAAAACAAATTATACAATTAACAATAAATTCATTTTTCATAAAGGCGCTATCAATTTACCTCTAGAGTGAAATTCTTTACCTGTCCAGTGAGGGAACTAACACGTCCTCCATATTGCAGTTTGGGTGGTGGTAAAACACGGCCTCTAACTTCCATCATATTATTGGAAATTGTTAAACCAAATTCTTGTACGTAAGAATCATTATTAAAATCAGCGCGTCTTACGAGATTGTTGATCTCACGTTCACGATCAGGAGCTGAACGAGCAGTTGCTTTAATCATTGTCGAAGTTTGCATGTCCGTCAATTTTTTAATACATCTTTGTCCTGCTACGATGTTGCAGACCTGAATTAAACAATTATTTTGTTAACAATTACATTTTATTTTATTCAATTTTGTAAATAATTTACTAAATTAATTAATAAATTATTTACTAAACTGTTAAATTAATTAATAAATCATTTACTAAAAACAAAATTTATTATAACTAAAATCAAATGCATTTAAAAAAATGAAACAAACCTCTAGTGGTAAGTACGTGTGTTTGTGCTCCTGACCAACCTGAAGGCACGGAAGATGAGGGTATCGCAGTTTCATTTTATACTTATCTAAGAAGTACTTGGCAACTGTACACTCGACTGTTTGGCCATTTTCTAGTTGTAATGGAAATCTGCAAAAAAAAAACATTACGTTAATAAAGAACAATAAACGATAGTTATATGCGTAGAAGTTTTTTTTTTCAAATTTCAAATAACTTACGATTGCATCTGGGCAGGTTTGCGCGTCACATTGCAGACACGATATTTTCGTCTCATGGTCCCACAATGTGTAATTTCAATTTTAAGTCCTTTGATTTCTTTGGTAAACTTTACACGTTGCGAATCTGTCAATGGTTTTCTCTGATCATTAATATCTCGAATATCCAAAACTTCGCACATAAATTCAATTACAGGTTGAGCTTTATAGAACGCAGTTGCAGAAACTGAAAAGGAAAAAAAGAATCTTAATATACATCTTTTTTTAAATGAACAGGCCTCAATTCGACTTTAAGAAGCAAAAAAAGTAGTTTTGAACTAAATTCCCATTTTTTATTATAATTCAGTCCAGTTTAAAAAATAATGTCAAATTAGTCTTTTTTAGCTTTAAATAAAAGATTTTCCTCTTTTGACAAAAGAAACGATACAGGTAATAACATAACCAAAAAATACTTTCTCATTATGACGAGAAAGAAATTGTTTCCTTATCAAAATGAAAACTATATTTGTTACATAAATAATAATTTAGTTAAAACTTACCATCAATATTTAACATCATTTTCCATTGAGAAGGCCGCACGGACTGATGGAAACCAAACCAAACTTCCCTTCCGCCACCCAAGGGATGATAGTATCCGTCTGGAGTACTAAAGAATGATCTTCCCACCGGAGTGTAGGTCATGGATGGTAAATGCCTCATGACCACGTCCAACGCAAGAATCGCATCAAATGGAATTTGTCTAGTTCGACCTTCTAGTGCCTCTTCTAAAGCGAACAGGGAAACTTGAGCCACCCACTTAATCACAACTCGAAAGACTCTATCCTTTCCTTCTCCAGGCAGTATCACCTTTAATTACACAAAAATATGTTAATTACACGAAAAAGAAATTAATGACTCGAAAAAAATTAATTACAAAACAATTTAATTACACAAAAAAAAAAATTAAGTACACAAAACAAACAGTTACAGAGAAATTAAAAGTAGAGAAAAATAATCCCTTACCTCTAATTCTATTCTATCTGTACCAATTGGTAATGGGTCCCGGGTATATAAATTGCTTCTACCATCGAAAACAGGCTTGAGAGTTCCAAATATTTTACTATAAGCGTGAACCATAGTCTCGATAATTTCTCGATTGACTTTACGCGGACATTTATCGGGTTGAATATTAATGTCATAATGATGCACATAACCCCGTGGCATTGTAATTTGGAAGTGATTGGCCCTCAGACCGATTACTCGGCCCTCGCGGCCTATGTTTGGCCTCCTTGGACATGAGAAAACTGTAAGGATAGAAAAAAAATTGTTATTAACAAGCAAAACGAATTCATTGTCTATGTTTAAGTTATTTACTATGTTTATGCAAATTTAGTTTATTTACTAAGTTTATGATATTTACTGTGTTTATGTAAATTCAACGTGTTTATCTATTTTAATTAATTGCAATTTTTTTCATCACATACCCGGCAGATCTGGAGGTTGAGGAGGCGTGTGTGTTTGTTGGGCGGGAACCAGGCTCAAGGAACTGGGAGCAGCAACACTACTTCCAGTTGTTCCAGCTGCTCCCACGGCAGTGCTTGTCGACCCCGGCGGGGGAGCTGAAATTAATAATTTAATTAATAATCAGTTTATAATATCGTTACATGCATTAAAAAGATATTGCTACGATTTTAAAATTACAAGTTTACTCATTTTTTTCCGAGTTGAACTTTACATTTTATTTTCTTACAGAGGAATGTATAAGCAAATTCTATAGTTAACCTCAAAATTAACATTTCCAAATCAAACTCCTTAAAATTAGTGAAAATTCTAAATTCTTGGGATTAAAAAATAAAAAAATGTTACAGCTGCTTCGATTGTTAAGATTTTCTTTCATTCAAAAGTGCTTTGTTCTCTAGTAAAAAGATCACCTGCTTACTTTAAACAAGGGGATATATGACACAATTTTTTTTATATTTCAGCAAAGTTATATTTTCTCTTTTTAAATTAGTTTTTTCTAATTTTTCCAATATTTTCAATTAAAAATTATAATCATTCGAAAACCATTTTATCTCTATTTTCTACATATTTATCATAATGGAAAGATAACAGTAAATAGAAAAAAATAGAAAAGATAAATTCTGTGAAAATAGAAAAAAAATATCATTTTCATGAAAAAATTTCATCATGTAAAATTTCGCATTTTCTGTAAATTGTCCCAAAAATATTTTCTAATTTATAATCATCATAGAAAAAAAATAACAAGAAGCAGAATTTTCAGAAAACAAAAACCAGACGAAAAGCAACAGTAGGTTTTCCAAATGTGTATTATTGGGAAAGGAAATCAAACAATCGAGAATAGGTCAAAAATTCAATGCTACGTGGTATTATTTATTGATTTTCTCAGTAACTCATTTCAGGTAAATCGTGCATGAAATAATCAAGCGTGTTCCAAATATAATTTCATTTTCATCAAATTTACATGATTATCAAGCAAAAAATTAAGGATTATTGAAAATTAATAAGTCTTTCTCTAAATAATGTGACGGATCTAGTGAAACAAGCAACGACACATGCGCCTGTTGAGCGGGGGGTTCATTCGGGGTCATTCCTAATGCTTTGCCTGCTATTAAAGAATCTTAAAGATTTCAAGGGACAAATCCTATCGAATGAAAGAATTCATTTTTTTCAATGGCATTTTTTCCAAATAACCCATGAATTGTGAACTGAACAAAGAACCCCCCCTCACAATGTACACAGACGATAAGTTTTTAGAATCAGCCTCTAAACAAGCGAAAGAGGGAACACATTTTTATCATTCTACTTCGCGCCATTTTGCGACAAAAAACAAGAAAATCACTACTCACGCTGTCCCACAGGATACATATTTGCTACTGCCGATGAAAAATTATCAATTATCACTAATAAATAAGTAAAAAATTTAACACAAGACCCGATAACCACCCAACACACTTCTCAACAACACACTGAAGCGAAACCAGTTGTCTGCCTCCCACAATGGCGGATGCTTAGAAGCTTCTCATTGGTTCCTTTATTACCAATCACAGAACGGAATGACCAGCAGAAGATAAAATTTTCGCGGCAAAATTCAAAATAAAAAAAAAAAATTATCTCACTTTTTTTGAACATTTTTCATAACTTTTAATTGATTACAACAAATTTACAAAGACAATAAATAAAAAAATGTATAAACAAATTAATACTAACAGAACAAAATATTTTTTCTTGCAAGAATTAAGAAAAAATAAATAAAATAAAATAATAGAGAGAAAATAATATTAACAATAATCAAAAAATGAAGAATTAAAGAAAACAATAAAAACTACTTGAGAAAAAGAAGACAAAAATTCACTACAGAAACTACAATGTTGGCAGCATTATGCCTTCTGATAGCGATTGGCAACACTGCACTTATCATGATGTACAAATGGTTGATTGGTAATCTATAAAAGTGCAGTTAATTTTTTTATGTTTAAAAAATGTCGATTATATTCAGTGGACGAAATTCGCGATCAGCAGGTCTAATAAGTGCAATTGCAAAACAATTAAAAGCTATCAATTTTCAACCAGCAAAAAAAGTTACAGTTCAATTTGATCCATTTCATGAGGGATCCGACTCAGCGAGGTTAGTTTTCAATCATATATAATTTTCTTTCACAAAAGCGCCAAAACAACAAAAACTACAGAACAAATTTATCAAATATGCAAAAAAAAGAATTTCAATTATCATGCATCTACATATTTCCACAAAATGAGCATTAATAATAAATTTTTCTCCAACAAAGAAACCCTGACAAAAATGCTATAATTACTGTTTGATGAAACGAATGGTATACATTGTTCTGTGTCATTACTTTCAGTCTTTGAATACGATCCATTAATGTGCTCCATAAAACCATAAAAGAAGGAATGAGTTTTTAATTGGAAAAAGCGTAGTGTATAAGGACGACAACTTGATCCCTTAAATAATACGTAACGATTTATGTTGATTCTGTGTGTTTGTACGTTCCTGTGACGTCGATAACTCGCACATGCGTATTTACATTTTGCCAGTAGACTAGCAGACGAGATCAGGAACGACGTCGTTAAATTATTTTTAACAAAAACAAAGTTCTTTTTTTTTACCAAAAAAAGCAAGAAAAAATGTAAAAATTCAAATTATTTACTTTTCGTAACAATTAACATTATCAGGTGTGTTTATTGTGTTTTAATATTGGTGTTTTTATTTTAAATTCTAAAATTAATTTTTGAGAGCAGTTTTCGTTCGATATCCCTATATTGTCAATTTGTACTTATACAGTGACCCCAATTTTTTTCCCTTAAAAATTATTTTTAACGTGCCAGAAACTTTGATTTAAATCCAATTTAATGAATCAAATTAAATTTAATTGTAAGAATTTAAAAAACTGGAGTTATTTGTAAACTATTAAATTTAATTAGTTAAATAAAAACTTTAACGTCCGAGAACTTTTATAAAATAAGGCAAATAAAACGAAAACATTCGGACAATGAATAAAAATATTAAATATTAAAATATTAATATTTTACTGTGAATAATTTATGATTAATTTTTCATAAATTTATTATTATTATGCAAATTACCAAATTTTTTATTTTCAAATATAAATTTTTAAAGAATTTCAGATTCAAACTTTAATAAAATTCAATTATTAACTAATTTACTAATTAATTATTCTTGTTTATTGATTTCAAAAATTTTTAATCAAATTCTTCACAAGAATTCAATTATTTTCATAAATAATGAACATTCTTCGTAAGAATTCAATTATTTTTATAAACAGTAAATTTGTTTGCAAAAAATCAATTATTTTTAAACAAAATATTAATAAAATTTAACGAACGAATACAATTATTTTCTAAAATTTTAATAAATCCTTTGAAACAATTCAATTATTTTTTTAAATAGTAAAAACTTTGCAAAAATTCAATTATTTTCAAGAAAATTTCACGAAAGAATTCAATTTTTTTTAATTTGTTGTAAAATATTTCAAAAAAATTCAATTATTTTTAAAAATTTAAATAAATCCTTCGAAACAATTCAATTTTATTTATAAATGGTAAAATTCTTTGCAAACATTCAATTATTTTTAATACAATTTCAATAATACATTTCATGAAAGAATTCATTTTTTTTTTAAATTTTAATAATATTTTTCGGGAAAAAATTCAATTATTTTGTAAAATTTTAATAAATCCTTCGAACAATTCAATTATATTTATAAATAGTAAAATTCTTTGCAAAAATTCAATTACTTTCCAAAATTTTAATAAAATTCAATAAATAAATGTTTTATTTCAATCTTTAACAAACACGATTATTTTAAAAACTTGAAAGAAATTGTTCATAAAATTCAATTATTTTCAATATTTTTAATTAAAATTATTAAAGAAACTCCATTATTTAGAAAAAAAAATTTAAAGAAACTCTTCAAAAAGAATTGAATTAAAATTTACAAAAATTTTAACACAATTTTTCGCGAGAATTCAATTATTTTCCTAAATAAGGAAATTCTTCGAAGGAATTCTATTGTCAAATTTTTTGATAATATTTGCCTTATTTTATATTTAAATTATTATTTAACATTTTTTGTGAAATAAAATTGCAAATTGATTGTAAAATTAGTTCTATTAAAAAATAGTGGTGATACAGATAAAGAATTCTTTTTTTTCTGTCACTTTTGAATGCAAGGGAGAATCATATTTTTTTAAAATAAAAAGTGAATGGAATTTTTACTCACCGGCACACTGTCCACAGCCATAAGCTTTGCCTAGCATAGAAACAGCAGTTGTTATTCGAATCGTGCTCAAATCTGGCACTGGAATTGGAATTTGCTGCTCCATTTGCGCCATTGTTCTAAAAAGCAAAACATTAAAATTTATAATCATCTACCTCTCTATAAATGTCTTTATTATTTTTTATATTCTAATCAACGTCTCTCTTGTTTGTTTACAGGAAGTTTTTGAATTACATAAGTGCGCCAAGATACAAGAAAACAAATCCAAAATGTTTGTTTAAAACAACAATAGTCTGCGATCAATCAGAACCGACAATAACAATAGACTTAGGTAAATAAAAAAAAAATTCTTATTTGGTATTTTATTTATAGTTAATTTAAAATTCCCCAAATGATTGTAATAATTTTTTTTTTAATGTCAAAAACAAATTTTCTTTTACAGAATCCGGAGAGAAGGTGGTGATGAAAAGCAGCAATTTGTCGGAATTAGAATTACTGACATTGTACAATAAGCATGTAACATCCCTTGTGCCACCACCACAAGAAGAGCAGCCAACCACAACAAAAGGCAAGAAACTAAAAAAGAGATAATCAAATTCCATTGCGAGAAAAAAAGACGCAATTGTGCTCTGATCAAATTAGTAAGTTTACTGATTATACGATAAAATTTTTAAAGAAAAAGAAAAGGGATTGCCTTTAAATTTTGACAAAATTTACGAGCATATTTCCTACTTTTTTTTGCCAACGCCAATCTGTGCTCTTGAAAATATAAAACAAAAACAAGAAAAAATGCTTTTTTGATTTTTTTTCTTTATTAATCCGCACATATTTAAGGAATATAAACAAAATGTCCTACATTGTCAATTCATGAACGAGAAACTAGAAAGATTAAATCCCAGCAATAAACCAAAAATAAAAACGTATCTAAAATTTTTGGAAACGAATATAGCGGGGAAGTAGAGAGAGCTTCTTTTTGATATATAAACAAAACAAAAACTAAATAAAGCGTAGGACCATCTCAGGTTTTCTTCACAAATTCTCGCAAGAATTGTGTCTCTAATTTAGATACACATATATCTATTGCTTAAAAAATAATAAATAATCTCCACCTTTCTCTTCGAATTAAGAAGAAAAAAAAACTTTCAAAATGACACAATATACACGTCCCAAAGATTACAATTTAAAATTGATAGACACACTTTATAATCAAGTACCAGCATTTACCGATGTTTTTGACGAGGAAACTTGGTATATTTTCGTTGGTTGCTTTGTGGCAGGCACTATTATGCTCGCTTTTCTTTTATCTCGATTTATAACAATAAAACCTGTCGATTAATTTTCTTTCTCGATTTATAGAGAAAATAATTAAAAATTTCCTTTCTCTCTCAATATTGAAAAGCCAAATAGACAATTTAAATTTAGAGCAATATTTAAAGAACAATAAAACAAAAATCAATTCATAAGCTTAAAACTTGTACACTGGAGCCTGAATATGTACTTATCATTTGTAGCTATTTATATTTGACAAAACTTTATACTCATCTAAATATAGAACAATATTAAAATTAAATGACAAAAAAAATGTACTTCTATTTGAATTAATTTTACGATCTCTTTTTTTCCAAGAGCGTCGCAATAGATTTCTTGACCAATATTTAATAATTCGACTGATGAATAAAAACTTTAATAAATAGAAACAACAACAAGTGATTAGCCAAAAAAAAGAAAGAGAAATATTAGTTGAATATTTTCAATTGCATGGACTTGAAAAGCCTACAATTTTATACTCGTTTAGATAATAAATAACAATGTTTCGAATTATATATTATATACGTTAAAAAAAACTTAAAAATATGTATTAAAAATATTACACTTTTTTTTGTTAACAATCTATGTTGAATAAATATTTAATCATTTAAATTTTCATCTACTTTTTAATGCTCTCGCTTCTTTTTCTCATAGTTCTTAAAATATGATATTCAAAAGAAAAGGGTATTCATTTCATTGCCTTGTACATGATACAATTCAAGTATTTTATTACCTGGAGGATTTCGTATTTATTTTACTAAACTGCATGTTAACGTTAAAAAATTTATTTTTTAATTAATTTATTAATTAAAACCACAGTTTATCATTACGAATATAAATTAATATTAAATAGTTTTTTTTTTTTAATATTCTATCCCTAAAGTCCTGAATGTTTACATAACAAAACTTATTTCTTTATTTCTCTAAAGTTTTAAACGAATTATTTATCCATTTAAATATTAAAAATCTGGAACAAAATATTTCTTATGATCCAATATTAAAAAAAAAAAAAATTACTGGATCGAAATTCGAAATGAAAAATATTGCAAATTAAAATATTGTACAAATTTCATTCAAAATTAATTTTTTTTAAATATAAAAATACAATGTTTAGTAACAAAAATTTATATTTAAAAAAACGTTTGTGAAGTTTACAAAATTTGTGAATAATGATTGAAAAAAAACTTTAGTGAAGTTTACAAAAATAGTAATCTACAATTGAAAGAAAAAAATATTTTCTACGCCGAAAATAATAAAATTTTTTGTTTACAAATTTTTTATTTTTTAAAGAATTGACTAAAGAAAAATATATAAAACAATTTTTATACAAAAATTTATAAAAATTTAAATAGAAAAATAATGTTTCTTCTGAATTGTTGATTATAAACTTTGTGAACTTCACAAACTTGAAAAAAAATATTTTCCATAGGTACTAAAAAGAATAGAAATATTTTGTTTACAAATTTTCAGTTTTTAAATTATTGATTAAAAAACTATGTAAAACACTTTTTTTTTTACAAAAATCTACTTTAAAAAAATGAACTTCAAAAGGTTTCAATTTCAAATTTTATAAAATTTCAATATTCTAAATGAATTTAATTAGAAATTTTAATTAAAATTTTTGAAAAATTTTAATAATTTAAGTTCTTCTGAAATTAATTAAATTTGTTAATATAGATTTAATTAATTATTAAAAATAATGTATTTATAGAAGAATTTTTGTTAAAAACACTAAAAAAATTGAATTTTGAAGAAGTTACAAATACTTGCAGAAATTCAATTATTTTCAAAAGTAATAAAATTCTTCGCAAAAATTCAATTATGTTTAAACATTTTTTCAAATTCTCGTCAAAAATTCAATTATTTAAAAAAATTTCTAAATTCTTCTCTGAAATTTAATTATTTTCAAAAATTTCAATAAAATTCTTGTCAAAATTTTAATTATTTTCAAAAATTTTCCTCAATTCAATGATTTTCAATTTCTACTATTTTAATAGAATTTTCCAAAAGAATTCAATTACTTAAAAAAAGATTTTAATAATATTCTATGCAAATATTTAAATATTTTCAAAAATAATAAAATATCAATTTTTTACAAGGATTCAATTATTTTTAGAAATAATAAAATTTTTTTTAGGAATTCAATTATTTTCATAAATAATAAAACTAATCACAGAATTTCAATTCTTTTTAATACAAATTTAATCGAATTCTTCGAAAAATGTAAATATTCTTAAAAATTTGATTAAAATTCGTCAAAAGAATTCAATTATTTAAAAATTTGTTGATAAAATTCTTTATGAGAATTTAATTTTAAGAAACATTAAATTATTCAATGAATTATTTATTTTTGTATTTAATTAATTGAATTTTCATAGAATTTTAGAATAAAAATCGATTTAAAAATTAATTTTAGTTAAAATTTTAGGAAATAATTGAATATTAAATGCATTATAACGTGAATTTTTAGAAATAATTGAATTTTGAAAAGATTTCAAATTTAAATCTTTAAAAATTTGAATTTTTTTTTTTAATTAACAATTCTGTAGAATTAATTTTTTTAAAAAAAGTTTAATTGATTTTTTTTTATTATTTGAAGTTTTTATTTTCTAATATATATTTAATTGAAGAATTTCTGAATAATTGAAATTCCATAAAATTAAATTGTAAACAAATGGATTTGAAAATTCTCAAAGAACTTTTTCAAAAATTGAGTAATTGATTTAAAGGAGAATTTCAATCAGAAATTGTAGAAAATAATAATTGAATTGAAATGATGAAAATAATTTTTAAGAATTTATAGTTAGAATATTCTTAGAATATAAAATAATGTAGGTGAAGTTCACAAAGTTTATATAATGAAAGATTCATTAGAAAAAATTTTTTTTCTGTTCAAATTTTTAGCTAAAAAAATTTTTTAACATTATTTCTTCATCTATAATTCAAAAAATAAAAAATATTCAAGAACAAATATCGTTTTCTGTGTAAAAAAATAATTTTTCTTACAATCGTTGAATCATAAACGTTGTGAACTTCACAGACATAAAATATTTAATGATTTTATCACTCGGTCATCTTTAATTATTATAAAACATGAAAATAATATTCTTATTATGTTGTTTTTGAATAATTTTACAATTAAAGAAATTCGTAAATTAATTTTAAACAATATTTTTTTAAGTATCTAATCATTAGGGAATCAGAATATTCTTCAGGGTCATGGAAAGTCAAAATTTTGTCTGAAAATAAATGAAAAATCGGAGAAGAAACAAAACTAAATTTTTGTATCAACCCTGACAATATTTCGTTCATTTGAACGTCCAGAAATTTTTGAATATAAAATTTTGTAAAATTTAAATTCTTTTGAAAATGCTCACTTTTCAATATCAAGTTAAATGTTTAAAAAACGAAAATCATTCTTAAAGTGATAAATTATATACGTTATTTTTCAAAAACAAATTGAAACAAGTAAAATTGAAGCTTGTTAATTTAATAGATCCATTAAAACCAAAGCTTGTTGGAGAATAAAATTTTTTTTTATCGAATTCACAAAGTTATGGCAACACTCAACAGGTAGTAGAGGTTGTGTTGATAAAAAAGAAAGCTTGACCTCAAGAGTGTAAAGTGTTGAACTCACCTCTTTATATTCTGGTCTCTTGCTGCACAAAATAATCCTCTAAACCTCTAAGTAATCAGAAATCACATATTTTTTTCTCTTCTTTCAAAGATTATTTCATGTACCAAAAATATCATGAATTACGTCCACATGTAAAAGCTGTGCTGGATATTTTCTTTTCCTTTCTTATCTGATACCACAGATCTCACCATTGATTTATAACAAACAATATTGTACTTTGATCTTGAATGCACATTTTTCTTTTCTTTCTGTTTGCCGAAAATTGGTAAATCTGAAATAATTAAAGTTTAAATAAAATATAATTTTATATAATTATTATTAAATAATCCAATCTTTTGAAAGATTGAAATATTTCATTAACAGTGTAAAAAAAAATTTTTAGATGAATGAAAAAATTACTGCATGGACTTCTTTTTATTAAGGACTCTTTTTTTATTCTAAAAAGTTATCTCTTTATTTTTGAAATAGAAAAAAAAATATTTGTACATGAATATACTCGAGAGCTCGCAATATGCTTGTCTGGCTTCTTTTGTCGTCCAGAAATCAGAAGGGGAGAGAGAGGAAAAGGACAATTCGTCGCAGCGAAGAATGAACAAAGATCTTGCGCGTTTCATGCTCTCTTATTGGGCTGGTAAGTAACAAAAGATGCCAGAGTTTTAGCAAAAAAAAAAAACAATACAAAAAAATCTTGAAAATTTCGATTCTTGAAAAAAAATACAATGTTGTAAACTATTGAACAAGAATTGTTTCACAATAAAGAGAAAAATCACCAAGAGAGAGAGAGAGAAAATGATAAAACTCGATTAATCAATTATTTATGAAAGGAATTCGATTGTTTCTAAATCATCAAACAAGCTCTCTTAAAGCTTTTAAAAGTTTTCGAAACAAACTATTTTTAATCTAGATTATTTTTAAATCCAAATGTGAAATCTTATCTGGTTCGAATAGCGTGTACCATAAATGAGTCAGTGGTAACAACCATTCTGAGTCAGACACGCGCAGTCACGTGATTTTTAGCATTTTATTACATTCCAATAATAAAAAAAAAGAAAGTATAAAAAAATTTTCATAATCAGGATCAAAAGTCAAATTATTTCCCCAAAAAGTCGAAACTTTGCAAAAATTTAATTTCACAAAAAACTCTTCTTTCTTTACCCACTGTTTTAAATTTGACAACTTATCAAAATTTGGCAAAACGAAAAAAAAATATTCTCAACAAACTGGTTTTATAATTTTAAGGTTATTTTTCCAATAACCATTCCAATAATTGACGATAAGGGAAAGAATACAAAAAACAATGAATGAAACTTGAGATACCTGATAACAAATTGTAAAATTTAACAAGACTTGTTCAATAAAAAAAAAAAAAAAAAAAACGGCGAGGAAAAGTTAAGTGACTGATAAAGTATCTATTTTTATCAAGAAAAGGTAATAAAAAACGAAAAAAGTTTAAAAAGCAAATTTAAAAACTACAATGATCACCTTATGTTTGCAAAATTACTCTAAGACGCAATTGATAGGAAATAAAAGTAACTTTTCTCTCGTGTGTGGCGATTTGTAAATGACGTTCATGAATTGGTTTGAAACGCACCGGTGAACTTAACATGAACAAAGCACAAAATTACATACAAGTGTGTGCACAGTACTATATAGAAAACATCCGTGGATCCGTGTCGATGACACACAAATTCGCAAATCCAATATTGAACTTTTATTTAAAAGGATTATTTTCGCGAATATTTAACGCGCGACAGCTTTCACTATAGGATGACGCGAGGATATACATTCTCCAAACGAATTAAACTTTACCCGAACCGCCAAAGACGATCACCAAGTGTCAAGGTTGCCATTTTATACAATTTTATATATGTATGTACATATATGAACCCTCGAGACGCCTTTGACACGTATGCCTCCACCAAACTAACACAAACATATACACGCGCACTCTGGAAACTATAATATTTTGTCCCCCCGCGCTCTCTCTCTCACACGCTGTCACAACAATCAAATATTATCACCAACAATCGCGAATATCATATGTTGTCATGATTTGGAAAAATGCTTTTATTACTTTTCCAAAAAAGAAAAAAAACCTCCGGCTTAAGGGATGTTAATAATACAATGCAAATGTTCCGGCGATTTTTCACAAAATACAAAGGTTTCAGCGGTCAACCCCCCACTACTTGTTCGATTCAATGACCAGCGCGCATGCGTCACGACTTCAGGGCCGTAATTAGAAAAAAGGCCCCGTCCTTTCGCTACCGTTATTCTGCCGCCCACGATACATTTCTTTTTTTCTCTTTTTCTTTGTTATCTTTATTCTTTAATTTCTTCACGCCAATTTTGATAATAATTTGCCTACAATTTATATTACTTATTTTCCGTATTTTTATTTATTTATTTTACTCTATTTCCGAATTATTTATTTATGAATATTAGGTATATTTTTTATTTAATATTAAATATTATTTTGTTGAATTTATTTAATTAAATGTTTTAATTCTATTTATTTCTCTTATCTATTTTAACTACTTTATTGAACACGTAATAAAGTATTTTTTATTTAAATCTTATTTAATTTTTAATAATTTATATTAATTTTTTAAATATTAATAATTAATTTTTCTTAATTTTTTTAATTTTAATAATTAATATTAATAAGATAAAAATGATTTGTTAAGGTAAATTAAACAATAATTAGTTAATTAATTGTATCAAATAATTCATTTAATCAAATTAAACTAAATTTTATTGCAGATTTATTAAAAAAAAAAATTTCACTTTGCACACTTTTACCGGTAATTTGTTGATTTTAGATAAGTGATAAATGATTTTTAAAAATATAATACGTAATAAAGATAAAAACTTCGATAAGAGATTGAAATTTTAAAAATACATTACATACAATAAATCGATTATGTATTTATAAAACTTTATGAAAAAAATTATTTACTGAATAAAACTATAAATTTTAGATATTTATAAATTATTTATAATTAATAGACGTTAAATAATAAGAAACATGTTTAATGAAAAAATTATTAGCTTATAATTATTTATTAGTTTAATTACTAGTTTATTATTGAATTATTAATTTCTATTTATTTAATTAGCAAATGAAATTTATTTATTTTGTTATTTTAAATGTAGTGTTTAATAAAAAAAACTTTAATTAGTAAAATATAAATTAATTATTAATTTTTATCAAATTCAGTAATTTAATAAAAATAGTAAAAATTAAATAATAATAGAATACCTAATTTTAATAATATTTAATTAAAAAAGTTTTAATTAAAAAGCTAAAAAAATTAAGACTGAATTAATTAAAAAAAAAATTTTTAGTAATTAATTTAATTTAATGAAATTTGTTACTTACAAGTTTTATAAAATTTTTTGCTGCTTCGAGCAGCAGTGAAGTAGAATTCTGCGAAAGTAATTGGAAGTTTATACTTGAAATGGTGAAAAAAAAAATTTAGGGGTTGCAAATCCCTGAGGGGTTTCACCCCTGATGAAAGCGGTGAACAACACGTGCTAGGATCCTTTGTTATGAAAACGTCGGATACAGCAGTAAACACGAGCACATGCTCTAAGATATCGATTATTCTAGCTAGACCAATGAAAATCTTGTGCGTCGTAAACAAAACAAGTTGATTCGAAGAGAATTTCCCGCTAACCGGCACCTCAAATTCAAAACTTCTGAGTTTGCGTAAAAGGGTTGTTTACAGTCAAATGACATTTAATTTTTACTCTTTTCAGAGAAAATTTCACCTCCTAATATAATCGTAACTTCATGGAATTCAAATTTTACAGTTTCTTTAAAATCGAGATTTATTATTTCGTCACTTCTATTGGTTTTCATTTTTTTCTGAACTATATTTTGAAAATTTTTACCTTTTGCAAAAGTTAAGTTAATGAAATATTAATTTAAAAAAATCTTTATCAATTGATAGGAAATTATTTCATAGATAAGCCTCAAAAGGAATTTATCATCTATATATATATATTTTTTTACTGATAATTTTGATATATTTTGTAATTCAAAGGTATTTTGGATTTTTTGTTTTATCTACTCTGAAACTTTATCAATTTTTATACTAAAAATAATAGTAATAATAATAATTAAAAATAAAAATAATGTTACAAATAATAATAATAATAATAATAAAAGTTTTTGCAAAAATGCCTTGTTAAATTTATTGCTTCCTCCTTTTTTTTACTGGTTGATAAGTTTTTTCAAAGAAAGCGATATACCATTTCCTGTGGAAATCTTATCACATTTTTCTACTCTTCTATTGTCGAGATTTAAAAAAAAAAGACAGTCGCTAATTTTAAAACAGTTGAATAAAAAACGTGCTATCGTGAACAATCCAAAAGGTCCAAAAGGCAAGAATTTTGAGTTACAATTAAAAATTAAAATAATGAATCTCAGAAAATTTTATTATTGAACTAAGCATTTGATTCAAAAATTTTAATTTCTATCTCAATGTGCATTTAATTTCGAATTGATTTGTTCAAAAATTACATTCCAATTCTATTGAATCAGTTTTTAATACCAGAAAGCGGATTAAAAAATAAAAATTTATAAAGATTGGAAAAATTACTAGCTTTCAAATATTATTAATTTGAAATCGAATTCGAAATAAAAATATGCAAATAAATAAAAAAATTATAAAATCAATAAAATAAAAATTTTTAAGTAAATAAATAAAAAACTATTTCCCGTTTCTCAGAAATGAAATCGCTTGCCAAACCGAGTGCACAGCAATCAAATGTTCGGAAAAAAATTATAAATCCCGACAAATTATTGATTACAAATTGGATAAAAGTCGAAACAACATTTGTTTGGGTAATAAAAGATTTTACGGACCTGAAAAATTTTCTTGAACAGACTCCAATTGTCATGGAATTTGGACATTTTAAGGAACGTGAGAATTCAAATCTAATGTGCACATTGGAATATTCAAAAAACGAATCCAAATATTACTATGGGAATATCGAGGAACATCGTTTAATCGCATCCTTGAATATTTTATCCACCGATAATATTGTCAAATTAATCATTTGTTGCTATATTGTTGGACGAGACGACGAGAAACATTTGAACACTGTACACGAATCTGGAATTTCTGCAAAAACCAAAAAAACTATAACTCTCTTCGATATTAATGACAATAATTTAGAAGGTCAACGTTACCTGCAAAATGGCACTTTAACATTGGCATTTCTTATCACTGAATTAAAATTTCCCACTTAATTGAAAAAGTACTGAAAAAATTCGAATTTTGAAAATGTAAATATCTAAATAAAGAAAATAAATGTAAATAGTGAAAATATAAGTTGAGTTTAAATGTAAAAATTTTTTATTTTCAAATATGAATTTTTGAATAATTTCAGACTGAACTTTAAAGAAAAATTCAATTATTAACTAATTTACTAATTAATTATTCTTGTTTAATAATTTCAAAAATTTTGATAAATCCTTCGAAACAATTCAATTATTTTTTTAAATAGTAAAATCTTTGCAAAAATTCAATTATTTTCCAAAAAAATGTCATTAAAGAATACAATTTTACAATTATTTCTTTATTCGATATAAAATCTTTGCAAAAATTCAATTATTTTCAAAAAAATTTCACGAAAGTATTCAATTTTTTTCTTTATTCGATATCAAATATTTCGAAAAAAATCAATTTTTTTCTAAAATTTTTATAAACCTTTCAAAACAATTTAATTATATTTATGAATAGCAAAATTCTTGGTAAAAATTCAATTATATTCAAAACAATTTCACGAAATAATTCAATTTATTTCTTAGTTCGTTATAAAAAATTTCAAAAGAATTGAATTATTTTCTAAAATTTGAATAAATTCTTCGAAAAAATGCAATTACATTTGTAAATAGTCGAAAATTCTTTGTAAAAATTCAATTATTTTTAATACGATTTTAATAACATTTCATGAAAGAATTCTATTTTTTTTTAATTTTTAATAATATTTTTTGAAAAAAATCAATTTTTTTCTAAAATTTTAGAAATCTTTGGATACAATTCAATTATATTCATAAATAGTAAAATTCTTTTCAAAAATTCAATTATATTCAAAACAATTTCACGAAAGAATTCAATTATTTTCTAAAATTTTAATAAATTCTTGGAAAAAATTCAATTATATGTATTTGTAAATAGTAAAATCTTTGCAAAAATTAAATTATTTTTAAAAAGATTTCACGAAAGAATTCAATTTTTTCCTTTATTCGATATCAAATATTTCGAAAAAAATCAATTATTTTTTAAAATTTTAATAAATTCTTCGAAAAAATTCAATTATATTTGTAAATAGTAAAATCTTTGCAAAAATTTAATTATTTTCAAAAAAATTTCACAAAAGAATTCAATTTTTTTCTTTATTCGATATCAAATATTTCGAAAAAAATCAATTATTATTTTCTAAAATTTTAATAAATTCTTCGAAAAAATTCAATTATATTTGTAAATAGTAAAATTCTTTGCAAAAAATCCAATTATGTTTTAAACTTTTAATAAATCCTTCGAAACAATTCAATTATATTTATAAATAATAAAATTCTTTGCAAAAAATCAATTATTTAAAAAAAAAAATTTCACGATAGAATTCAATTTTTTTCTTAATTCGTTATAAAATTTTTCAAAAGAAATTTCAATAATTTTAATAAAGTTTAATAATTAAATGTTTAATTTCAATTATTAATAAACACGATTATTTTTAAACTGGAATGAAATTGTTCATAAAATTCAATTATTTTTAAGATTTTTAATTAAAATTTTTAAACAAACTTTTATTTAAAAAAAAATTCAAATAAATTCTTCAAAAAAAGTTTAATTAGAATTATTAAAAATTTTAACATAATTCTTCTCGAGAATTCAATTATTTTCCTAAATAATACATTTTTTTGAAGGAATTATATTATTATCAAATTTTTTGCAACAATTCGATAATTTTCAATAAATTAATTTTAAAAATGGAAATTATTTAAAACTATTATTAATAATATAGATAATTGTAAATAAAATATATGAATTTATATTAATAATTATAATAAATATAATAGTTTTTAAAATATAATATTAAATATTATCAGTAAAAGAAAATTGAACGAAAAAAATTAAAAGAAACGAACTTTTTCTAAAAATTGAACAGCGATGTGAATTGTTTGTGTGAAAAGAAAAATGACAAGTACACCTTTTCATCATCTTTCAACAAAACAATTTTCTTTTTATTATATAATGTGAAACTTACACTCTACTATTTTCTTTTAAACCGATATTGCAAAGAGATACACAAGTCGTAGTGAAGCATTAGTAAGAATAATTCAAGTTACCAGTATATCCAGAGCAAAAATTATTTCGCACGACACACAGAGAGACATTACAAAAGAGAGAGAGAGAGATAGAGAGAAAAAAAAGGAAAAAAAAACAGAAAGAAAAAAGTGTCGAATTCAAATCCAGTCTTTTTTTTTTAATCGAAACACATTCCCTCGTCATCCTCATCTTTCTTATCAGTTGATCCAGCTCCAGATGGAGGTTGCTTCTTGCTTTTGTCATCCTTACCCTGCTCACTGCGTTGCTCCTGCTCCTGGTCGTCCTTCATCACGAACTCAAGTGCGCTCACAAATTGCTCGAGATTTCCATTGGTTGCTGCATTGACCGCCTGCGTTCCAAGACCAAATTGACGAATGACTGGGCCAGCCTGACCGGACTGCAAAGCAGACCAGAACATTGATAGCGCCTGGGAGAACTGAGGAGACGATAGCGTGGTATTGAGGTTGTCCCCGGGTGGCAAGTGCTCTTTCATTTCTAATTCAAGGTTCTCGGTCGACGAAATCGCCCCTGGGATGGAACTGCTCAACTCGCTTGCTACGCCCCTCTGCCGGACAATAAGCTGTGCTGTAGCCGATCGAGAACAACAAAGTAACCTGGAGGAGTTACTTCTCCAACTGCTCAGCAAAGTCAATGCCTCCGAGAGCCAGGAGAAGTTCACACGAAGAACAGTACTGAGCAGTGTCAAATACATGCCACTTCGCTATACCAACGCTAATGTCTTTTTTATTTTTATTATTATTATTATTATTTCTTTTTCACCTTAACACTCACCGTTTCCAAGTGACAATAACTATAAATAGAAGAGGGTAACTTTAACTTGCCCCCCCTCTGGTTACTTTTCCATCTCTTCATTGAAAGAATACCAAATGTACGAATACATCAATAAAACAATATATTCAAAATATAATAATGACCAAGACAAATTCCCCTTTCAATTTCTATAATTATTGATTTCTAGTATTTCTACACTTGATATACTTCCCAAAGTTCCACTAATACAAAGCGCAATCATCGTATTCTCATTTCAAAAAATCTAGAAAGATAGAGAAAAATTTTAGAAATCAGCAAATCAAAAATTTGTCAGTCAATTAGTAATAAAGACAATACGTACCCTTTTCGTTATTGAAAGAAAAAAAGAGTACAACCAGTAAATAGTAAAAAAAACTATGAAAGAAAAACAAGACTATTCTCGCAATGCTAGTAAAATACTGTCAAAGTTAACAAACAGAAATGATAACTTTGCTAAGGAGTGATAAACCAATTATACTTCTGGATAAGAGACAAGATTATTATTGCGAGTAATGTAATACGAAATTACCGTATCATATAAAATTTTTATCTATAAAATACAACTTGTGAATAACGTAATTTAAACAAAAAGGAAAAATTAATCTTTGATTATTCCCGTTCTGATTTGCCGATAAAGTATGTGACGTGAATTTATTTCTATTATTGAAAAATTATTACTTTGGTTTCTTTTATCAATTTGACAATTCTAAAAACTCTCTTTAAAAGAAAAAAAATAGTCTTTATTTAGAACAAAATTAAATATTGATTTGATAAAAATTTGTACCTAACGAATTTTATGAAAATGATGCATGTGATTGCGCTTCACTGAAGTGGTTTCAACGTCAAGTTTCTGACATTTTGCATACAAAAAAACTGAATAATCTTATCAAAGTAAACTTCTTGGATAAGAATCTCAGAATTTTAAACTGCAAATTAATATTTAAGCAATTAACTACGAAGTATGAAATTAATATCTGCAAATAACGAACAATGCCAAGAGAAAATTTTTAAATCTCTTTCGAATGCAATATTTGCAAAATTCTAAGTACAATTTATAATTTAGTTCTGCATTGTACTCGAAAATATTAAAGAGTATGTACTAACTTTAAGAACAGACATAGACTTTCATTTTGACAAGAAAATTTTTCGTTCATTAGAAAATAAGATATTTAATTATATGAAAAATATTTTTATATTCTTCAGAACGTTCAAATGAAGGAAATTTTTTTATCAATTTAATATTTTCTCAAAATTACTGTTATAAAATGAACAAGGTTGACATTGGTCAGGGAAAAGTCAGAGAATTTTATCAAAAATAATGGAAAAATATTAAACTATTAGAATTAATAAAAAAACGAGTTTTTTTGGTCAGCAGTTATTGCAAAAATTAACAAGATTTAATACTTAAATAATAAATAATAATAAAATAAAAATAATAATAGGTAGCTAATAATAATACATATTAAATAAATAATAAGAATAAAAAAATTATAAGAAAATTATTTTTTATATACTATTTAAAGAAGAATTTAATTTAAAAATTTCAGAAATAATTGATTTTTTTTAATGTTCCGTTTATTTTTATAAATTGAATTAAAAATGAATTTCAGATAAAATTTTAGACATAATAATTGAATATTTCTTAAAATTTAATTCTTATAGAGAACTTTATCAAAAATTTTGAAAATAATTGAATTGTTGCGAAGAGTTTCATTAAAATTGTTGAAAACAATTAAATTCTTTCAATTTAATTAAAAATATATTAAAAATAATTATTAAATTTTAATAAATTGTAAACAAATGAGTTTTCAACATTTTTTTAGGTGTATTTTCTTCTTATTTGTTTTAGTAATTGAACTCTCAAAGAACTTTTTCAAAAATTATTAAAAATAATTGATTCGGAAAAGAATTTTAGTTAAAAATCCCAGAAAAAAATTAAATTGAAATGTTGGAAATTATTTTAGAGGAGTTGCAGTAATATAAACAGGAATAAACCTTTTGGGTCAAAGAAAAATCAAAATTCTGTCTGAAAATCAGGGAAAAATAAAATCAAATCTTTGTAGCAGCTCTGATGATGAAACATTACAGAAAAATTATTTCCCAATGAAATTTCAATTTGAATGAAATATCAACAAAATTCTCGAATTATCAAACCTAAAGTTTGATAATTCTCTTATTATAAAACCTTAAGGGTTATATTATTATATGAAAATTATTTTTCCAATTGATCAAATTATTTTCCCAATTTTGAAAAATAGAAACGATTATTTATTAATCGAATAATTGACGAGTTGAAATTGAATTTCATGGAAACTTTGATAATCGAATTAAAACTAAAATTGTATAAAAATTTTCCTTCATTAAATTCATTTAGAACTGTAGAAATGTTTGTTATTTCCAGTAATTTTTTTTCATCAAAAAAAAAAAAGATTAAAAGTTTAATATTCCGAGGATATTAAATTACCTGATCAGTCCGACCTTCGGATGGTGTTGGTATTTCAGAAAGATATTGTACTAAATCACTGACTCTTATTGGAGTTCTTGATTCATCTTCTGTTCCAGATGCTGGTGCTGCTGTTCTACTTGAAGTTTTAGAACCTCCTACAAAAGAATCAATGATTTAAGAATAAAAATAAATAAATTGAATTAATTAAAAAAAATACAAATGTTCCTAAAGTTTTGAACGTTCAAAAGAATATTTCCGTTTGCTTCCTTTAATTTGTATTTTCTTATTAAAAAACAAGAACTTTTTTTTATGAAAATATAAAAAATAATTTTGTAGATTAAAAAAATTAAATCTTGAATAAGTAAATATTAATTTTAATTATTATTCCTTTTTGAATAGTATCCAATTTTTTGAAATATTTATACAGAAAAAAGTAGTTTTATTTAAAAGTTCAAAACTTCGTAAAAAAAATAAGTATTAAAAGTAATAGATTTTAATAAAAATTAGTGCAAAATAAAAACATGGAACAAAATAAAAAATAAAACAAAAGAAGGAAATAGAAAAAAGAAAATACGAGGAAAAAAATAAAATAAAAACAAAAAGATAAAAAAAGGGGTACAATATAAACTAGTTATTTAATAAAAAGAAAAAAGTTTCAGTAGATCACCAGTAGATCTGGATGTTTCGGTGGTGGCAGCTCCAGCAGATGCTGTGGCAGTAGGTGCTGGGGTTTGAGCAGCAGGTGGCCTGGTGACGATAGTTGTTGCAACTGGCGTCGAGGAAGTCGTGGTAGTTGTTCTAGCAGTTCCATGTGGTCGATTCATTGTTCCCAATAAATTTCCTAATCCTCCAATTTGTCCCACGCCACCGAATAATTGAATCAATTGCTGTTGCGACATATTATTCAAGAGATTTTGTAAATCACCCTCTGGATTTGCACCACCACTTCTTTGAGAACCTGGTGTTGGTGGATTATTGAGAACTTCGTTGATCTTCCTGCAGTGTTCATCGTCCTTATCGGTTTTTAGATCCTTGAATAAATTCGTCAAAATTAATTAATTAATTATAATAATGTTCGTATTCATTCTTTCATTTTTTCTGTTCCTCACACTCTAAAGTTGTCTTTTGTTTATACTTTTATTTTTTGTTAACTTTAGATAGATTGTATATTATATTATTATGTTATAATTATTTTTATTTCATAATTAATTCAAAATTGTAATGACAAATAGAAATCATCAGAATTCTTTTCACTTCTTTTCATTAAAAGACTAAAATTTTGTTAAATATTATGTTTTGTCAAATTGAAATTATGTAGATTTTTGTTCTTTACTTTTCTAAAATTTCAAATTCAAACCTTTTTTAAATTTTTTAACAATTTATAAAAGTATTGTTATAAAACATGAAGATATCGATTGCTCCGAGTCGAAGACTCGGAGTGATCGACTTCTTCATGTTTTCTAATAATTAAAGATCCAAAATTTAATAAGATTAATTAAATTCCAAAATTGAATTTTTTTTAGTGTTTTCATGAAAAATTTAAATTAGAAAATTTTTAGATTCTATTATTTTTAAAATTGCTAATTTTATTTAAAAAAGTAAGTAAGAATTTAGCCCAGTTGCTAGTTATTTTAATAATTGCAGAAAAAAATCATTTTATCAGAAAATTAAATTATTAAACACTGAATTTCTTTTTAACTATTAAACAAAATTTTTCTTCAATTATTGAACAGTATTTTGTATTTTTAACAATAAAACTATTTACCTGGAGCCAAAAGAAGAATCTTCTACTGGACGATTTAAATTTTAAAAGATACACTCTGCCAGTAGTGCACTGAGGAACATGTTTAAATTCACAGTCATCGGGAAATATGATCAAATCCTAGAAAAGAAAAAAATTATTAACATCCCATTATAATGAATAAAAATTACAAATTTGCGCTTACTCATGCAACATAACCTAAATGTCTAAAAAACCTAAAGAACAATAAAACTAACTTTAAACAAATTATCCAACAACGTTCAACTATCCACACGCATCATAAATTTAACTATTATTTTTAAAAACAAAAATTGATTACAAAAGACATAAATTGTACCATTAAATTCGTAATAACTGATTCCTGTTTTTTTCTAGGTTAGAAAATATAATTCAACACAAAAAGAACATATTTTCGTGAATTTATTGATTTCAAAGACAAGTGAAAAATTAAATAAAAATTCTCTTACGTCTTCAACAACTCCAGAAGTTCTGTCTTTCCAACAAAAATGCATTAAACAATCGTCCGACTGATATACATAAAGTTGTCCTTTCCTATTGTCTGGATAAACCTTGCTTCCCTTCATTGTCATTTTTCCGGCTTTAAATTCAACAAGATTTTTACTTGCGCCTCGATTAACATTATTACCAAAAAGTGCTCCACTCGACATTTTGTATACACGTTTAAAAAACGAAAAATAATCACTTATAAATGTTTTACAAACAGCTTCCAAAGATGACAAAGCTGAATGTAGTTGAAATTAAAAGATGGCGACAAGCCCTTTTTCATTTAATTTTCTCAGCCGTAAAGTGCTGTGCTCTATCAAGAAACTAAGAAACTACTTTAATTTTGTCGATTAAATAGAAATCTCTTTGAAAACTATTTAAATTCAAATATTTATTTAAGTTCAAACTTTTTTTTTATGTGAAATAAATTTTTAATTAAATAAATTATTTAAATTTCCCTCCAAAAGTTTAGAAAAAATTTGCTTTTTTAATTAAATGTTTTATTTATTCAAAAAGATTTAACTAAATAGATTAATTAAAGTTAATTAACTTGTAATTCTAACATTTCTTTCCTATTTTAGTTTATTTATTAGTTTTTCGTTTACAATTACCTTTTTAAATTCCAATTCAAAAAGTGATCACTCCACTTCCGTTTCTATTTTTGCAATCTAGATGAAGTTCCGGTTCCGTTTCAGTATCAGTACAGCCAACGGCTGTTGTTAATTATAGTTGTTTGTTGTTTAATAATTAATAAATTGAAATTTCGGTTGTAAAATAAGTAAAATTTGCTATTAAGATTAATTACGAATAATAGTTGATAAAATCTTCTGTAATTCATTGAATAGTATTTACAAATTGATCAAAATCCACGTTTTTCGGGAGTAATTTCAGTTTTTTGCGATTTCGGAATCCCGCGTTTTCTTTGTTCTAATAAACGTATTTTTTAATTACTACACAGTCGTTATTAACCAGAGTATCGTTTTTTAAAATTTGTTTCATTAATCTTTAAAGAAATCTATAACAAATTTGATAAACATTCGGTAAATTTGTGTTAAATAAAAAAAAGAGATTTGATGGGTGAAAAGGGGGTGGGAGGGGGAAGGAAACAGAAGGTTAGGGTCAAAGTGCTTAACATTTCCGCCATTTTCCGGAAAATTGTCGGATTGTTTTGATTGTGGGGATTGTTGGATATTATACGAATTAGTTGAAAGTTAAAACATAATCAGATACAATAATGGAGATTTTAATAAAAGTGACACGTGAATATTAAAAATGGAGTGAATAATTACAAATTACATGCAAACTGGATAAACAACGAAAGGTATTTTTGAGGTTATGTCGGCATTGATTGTGGATCCTTCTGGTTTATAATTAAATTATAAAGGTATGTTTGTTACGTTAATTGTTAAATATAATGATTTATGTGAATTTCATGACAAAATTTATGTTTCTCTTATGACAACGATTGATAATTGTGACAATACTGTTTTAATGTACAATGTTATCAAAATTCACCAAGTTCTCGAACAAAAGTCGTTGCATGGACTTTTGATATCGGAAATAATTATATTGACTCGTCTATTCATATCTTAATTTTATACAATTTTTACATAATGCATAAAAAAATAGAAGTCCATTTATTAATATTTATATGGCGCGATATAAATATTACAGAAATAAAATATTGCTTTGCATATAAAAATAGCAAAAATATTTTAATTATATGTCATCTTCTAGAAATTCGCAATGCTTATTTTTAAGAATGAATGCATTTTAGAAATATGACAGATATTTGAATTTATCTTGGTATACATTTATTCTTGTTTATAAAATTTCTTCTAATATCCATTCTATTTGAATTATTTGATTCTATAACTATTTTTAGAAATTCAATTATTTTCAATAAATAATAAAACTCATAGCAAAATAATTTCAATTATTTTTAATACAGTTTTAATCGAATTCCTCGAAAAATATAATATTATTCTTAAAAATTTTATTAAAATTAGTCAAAAGAATTCCATTATTTAAAGATTTATTGATAAAATTCTTTATAAAAATTATATTTTAAGAAACATTCAATTATTCAAAAAATTACTTATTTTTGAATTTAAGTAATTGAATTCTCGTAGAATTTTCTGATAAAAATTTATTTAAAAATGAATTTCAAGTAAAATTTCCGATACAATAATTAAATATTTCTTAAAATTGAATTCTTTTAAAAAATTTTATTAAAATTTTTGGAAATAATTGAATTATTACGAAGAATTTCTCTATAATTTTCGAAATTAAATTCTATCAAGGAATTTAGTTAAAATTGTATCAAAAATAATTACTAAATTCTAATATCTTCTAAACAAATGGTTTTTAGAATAATTTTAGATGAACTTTCTTCTTATTGTTTGAATAATAATTGAACTCTCAAAGAACTTTTTCAAAAATTATTAAAAATAATTAATTCAGAGAAGAATTTTATTCACAAATTCAATAAATAATTGAATTTTATCAATGTTGCGTTTACAATATTTATAAATAATTGAATTTCAAAAAAGTTTCAATTTGAAATTTTAGAAAATATAAATTTTAAATAATTTTAATTATAATTTATGATAAAGTGGTTTTTTAAAAAAATTATATTCCCTTTTTTTTAAATAATTTAAATTTTTACATTTAATTGAAGAATTTCCTAGAAATCAAAATTTCGTAAAATTGAATTGTAAACAAATGGGCTTGGAAATTTTCTCAAAAAACTTTTTAAAAAATCATAAAAAATAATTGATTTAAAGAAGAATTTTAGTTAAAAATTGTAGTAAATAATAATAATTGAATTAAAAAGTTGAAAAGAATTTTGAAGAAGTTACAGTAACAATATGATTATAATATTTAAATTTATTAAAAAATGTTTTGATAAAATTATTTACGAGAATTCAATTTTAAGAATTAATCAATTATTCAATAAATTATTTATTTACATATTTAAATAATTATTAGAATTTTCTTACAAAAATTGATTTAAAACCGAATTTTCAGTTAAAATTTTAGATAATAATTGAATTTTAAAATCATTATAGCGTGGATTTTTAGAAATAATTGAATTTTGAAAATGTTTTAATTTTGAAAATCTGAATTTTTTACATTTTTAACTAACTATTCTGTAGAATTAATTTTTTTTTTTAAAGTGTAGGTAATAAATGTAATAGAACATTCTTTGAGTAACTAAAATTTTTTAGAATGAATCAAAATACAAACATAAAATAAATTCAAACACAAAATAATAACATTTAAATTTTTTAGAATTATTTTTAACATTTTGAAGAAAATAATCATAATTATTAAAAAATTTTAATTACAATTCTTTAAAAAATTAGTTTTTTTTAAATTATACAAAAATTCTTCAATTATTTTTGAAAAATTACATTACAATATCTATAAAAAACTAATTCATCGAATTGTTTTATCATAATTTTTAAAAATTCAATTACCTTCGAACAAAGTAAATTTAAATTTTTAAAAATTTACTATTTTAGAATTTTTGAGAAATCATTTATAATAAAAATTTTTCAAACATTTTTTATTATTTTCTTATATTTTTTAATAGGTATTGATATTTGATTTAGAGATGAAGTTTAGTTAAAAATTGTAAAAAATAATTGAATTTTTGGAAAGTTTATACTTTAAAATTTTTAGAAATTATTAAATTTCAGAAGTTGAAAATTTTTAAATTTTATTTCCTGTGAAAAAAGAAATAAGAAGTATTTAAATATTTATTTAACAAAATCATACAAGTTTTGATTAATTAAATTTAGAAATCAGTGAAGAATCAGGGAAATTTAAAATAAAATTTTTGTAACAACACTAAATTTGAAAATTTTCAAAAGAACTTTATAAAAAATTATTAAAAATAATTGATTTACAGAAGAATTTTAGTTTAAAATTGTAGAAAATAATCATTGATTTGAAATGGTCTTTAATTATTATAAAACATGAAGAAATCGATCATTCCGAGTCGAAGACTCGGAATGATCGATATCTTCATGTTTCATAAAAAAATATTCTTATAAGTTGTTGAATTTCAAAAGGTTTGGATTCGAAAATTTTGAAAATCCGAATTCCTATGAACATTCTTTGAGTATCTAAAATTTTTTAGAATAAATCAGAATATTTTTTAGGGTCAGGAAAAAAATTTAAATTTTGTCTGGAAATCAGGGAAAAGTTAGGAGAAAAGAAAATTAAATTTTTGTATAGTAACCCTGTAATTGTTTTAATGAAGTTTATTTTTTAATTATCCCATACTTTGAAAGTCTGAATTAATAATTAGAATAAAAATCTAATTTTAACTTGATAGTCATTTTGAAGTACCAATAAATGTTTAGTTTATCCTGTTTCTTTACGATGCTGAAGGATCGAACTTTTCATTTGAAAAGTTTTGAGTCTTTTAAATAGTGTTAACGACGGGCTTTTCCTTTTAGTTCTTCTTCTTCTTCTTCTTCTTCTTCTACTTATAATGAAAGATCGGGAAGGGAGTTTTGTTAGCATCTTCTAACCTAACCAGCGGATGGTAATATAAACTTTGTGCCGACATTACCGCGATAATTAAACCAGCGAACTGCAGAAACTGCAGTCTGCATTGAAATATCTCATCCCCCAAAGCTTTTGCTACTTTCCCGCTTCCAAGTTCCTACTAAAAGGTTCCATAACCGTCGGGGTTATTTGCAGTAAAACCAAGATCCTGGTGCTACCAAGCCCATCTTATTCCGCAAAGTTATTGCTAGTATCGCACACCACTATTTTCATCAACATTCAAGTAAATCGTAAAAAAAAATAAACACCACTTATTAGTTTATTTTCTCCCCGCTTTCATCCTTTTTTCCTTGCAAAAACTATAATTTTCAATTTTTCTTCATCTCCTTTTTATGAACAGGGTTGGCACAAATCAAGGAAATCAGGAAAAAGTCAGGAATTTTTATTCAAAGTACTGGAATCTTAATAAATATCAAAATTCTTTCCAGAAAATCAATTATTATCAAAAATTAAAAAAAAAAAATTCTCAACATTTCAATTATCTTTATAAATAGCAAAATTCATCACGAAAATTCAATTATATTCGGGAATTTTAATAAAATTCATTGCAAAATTCAATAATATTCATAAATAACAAAATATAATATAATAATATTATAATATTCATAATAACAATAATTCATCACAAGAATTCAATTATTTTCAAAATTAATAAAATTCTTCGCAGAAATTCAATTATTTTCAAAAAATCTAAA